CTCGTGAAATCAGATGGGAAAGTGAAACATACTGTGTATCTGAGCCTGGAATCTGTCCAACATGCACCGTCGAGTTTCCCCAATGTACTCGAAGAAAGCGCCACATGACTCAGCGGAAAATAACCATTAAGTTTACATGGACTCCCAGAATGCTGGTAGCTGCCTACGACAGGCCGCGAGAGAAGCCTAAAACGCCGTCGATAATCTGCTCTACATTAACAGAGGTGAAATTCTCCTTGTCGTAATTCATAGGGTTTATTCACCACTTCTAATGGGCTTTACTCATTAGAGGTGCTATATTTTTAAATTGAAGTTAGAGAAACGTGTACCTACAAGAGGTAAAGATTTTTCAGCGAATAAGTAAACTTTTAGATGTCAACCTGGAAGTTTACATCAACACTTTCCGCGTAACAATGAGGGCAACATGCACGATCTTCCGCTCCGAAATCGCAAGGTTGGGAACTTTGGCAATACTGGGGATTGGAAAGTCCCAATGAATCAACGGAATATAACCAGAATTTCTCGAAATTAAATTATTTGGCGCGGTATGAGTTTCAATAGCGTCATAGGACTATTACGGCAGGTTGGGGAGTGTCATGGAACCGACATAAACTTCACCTAATGCCCATGGATTACTCTTTCGGGAAGGTGGAAGGAAGTTTCTTTGTTTACTGGGAAACAACGTTAAGCTTTATACATATGCCCCATTAACTCTCATTGATAAAACGTCATGTTACTCATTAATAGATCAGGTTTGAAACGGTGATCTCATGATCACCCTTTATTGCCCCCAGCTCAAAGTCCGAGAAAGAAACAAAAAAAGGCGGAAAGGTGAAGGATTCAGGTTACTTGTAAGTACTACTTGAAGTAGTTGGTTTCTGTGGATCCGACGCGGAATGGGGAGAATGACCAGAAACAAGAAAGCGAACAGGAGCGCAGTGCTCTCATTGTTTTTCTCCAAAGCTTTATACTGTATTTTGGCCCTCATTCCTGAGAAGCAGCACACAACAACAATACGGTCTTGGTGATTTTTTGAATTGCCGTTTCACGCACTCAAAATCCCTATTTGTTTTCCGGAAAGTGCTGCATCCAAATGAGCTTCTCCAACGCACGATAGAGGTGAAGCGCCACTGCCAATTCGAATACAAAACTGAGCTTCATTCCTGCTCGTGGGCCAAAGAAGAATTTCTGGCAAAATGCGAAGAAACTCGACGGCTTTCCTCGTTTTAGAGCGGACGACTATGAAAGGCCCGTGTTGCTCGAACGATTCCACTGGACTCACCGAAAAGGAAAGGGGAGACGAACGACAGCATGTCGGAATGTATGATTCCAGGGAACGGGATTTCTCATCCGAAGGGGACAGGAGCGAGGAATGGACTGATTCCCATCTCAATCAGGTCGAAACGGGGAATCTCGGTCTGATCAAAAGAGAAAAAAGGGCTCCAGCAGTTTCAACATTTTCCCCTGTCCATGGAATTGTTTCCTCCCCCTCGTCCAAATCCCCCGAATATCCGGTCCCCATCCCGCTTTCAATGGGAGAGCCCCTCTTTCTCTCTCTCTCTCTCTTCAGCCTTTCTCTCCTCTGACCCTCATCCAGATCCGAATATTTTGCGGAGACCCGTGATTGCGTAACTGGGTCTTAGAACAAACTAACGAAATCCGCACTTTTTTTCTCCCGTGAACGATAGGGATTATTTGGCTTCCTCGTTTCATGACGCGATGGAATGGGATTTCCTTTCCTTACTGAGATCATATTGACAGCCCGAGCTCATATGTCGGTTCTTCCAGGCCTCTTATTTCTTCCTTTTTAGGTTTCAAGGCCGATGTATGGATGTTGGGAGGCATTCCTGCCCTTATTCCCAAATCCCAAAATGATTCGAGAGCTCCACGAAGATAGACTTACCCCTACAGGTATGTCACCAGTGGGAGCCTGTCCATCTTTTTATCAGCTTTTTTATGGTTATTTAAATTTTTTTTCATTTTGTCCACGAAAGTGAGTCACTTCTAGAAGCAATCAAGGGGAAGGGCATCCAGGATGTCCTTATCTAACAGCTCAATTTTACTTCAGTTCTATCATATTTTCACCAGAAAAGATTCACTCATTCAATGTGGACAGTTGCAGGATCTTTTCATATAGTTGAGTCACAACCCGATGAACCCGTAGGGTGGATTTTTGAACAGAGCATTATCCGATAATGCAGCCAGAATGCTTATTTTTCTGAGTACACCTTTCCTCCTCAAGAATAAATTTTGACATGAGCGATGCCTTCAGGAAATACGAGTCGGTCACCCGAGAAAAATCATCGCCTTCCTCAAACTTCGAAAAAACAAATTTAGTTTCGTTTATTTTCGCCTGGAAAAAAGAAAATTGCATCGGATATCATGAATAAGTCGGCTAGATACCATTTTGTCACGTACTTTAAGTCGTTATTTTATTTTCGTCGTCGTTGCATTCGTCACTTCAGGAAAATTGCATTTATTTTTCCACGTCGTCGTCGTTAACGAAATGGGAAATGTTCTTGTCGGGAGTCTTCGCCACTGTTTTCTTCGACGTAATTAACATCGCACTTGATGCATACCATCCATCCACTAATTCCGCAACTTGAGTGTTGCGTAACTGCAACCGGTTCCTTTTCGTTCCTCAATTACCATCGAGTTGGAAGAACTTACCACGCTCTGTGCTATCAAAGCCGTTAAAGATTTAAAATGCATGGTTGAAGACCCCCTCGTTAACCTCTCTCCCTAAATGGAGTCTCAAGGCTTGTAAAAGCCGCTGTCGAAAAAGTTCCCATATCTTCCAAATCGTTCTAGCGCCCAGCGCCTGAATCCTATCCGGCACCTGCGAATCTCATCCATTTGCAGACCACCAGGATGAACGAAATGCGCTAAATGGGACCTTACCGATGCCGTGTGCAACAGAATATGAGTGAGATCTCATCGGTAATTATGCGCCAGCTGAAGCCGAAGATCTCGTGTCATGAAACTACCTTGAACTGTGTGTGCGAGGGATTCCTATTTATGAAAACCCTCAATTCCTTCTCTGCAAGTCTATTCTCACAAAGAGGCGAGGATTTCGTTTCTTTTTTGTGGAAGATGAGCTCGGAAGGAAATGCGGAAAGGAAAGATGAATTTCGTACTCATCCATGTTCAGCGGGTAAATCGTCTCGGCTGATTTCCATGCCCTCTCCTTCTCACCTTACAAATGTGAGACACGTTTCACCTCTCCTTTTTATGTTCTCTTCACTTAATTTCTTTTCCTTTTTACTGGCAAGTTCTACAATTGAAGTCATTTCCACATTGCTCTGTAGTGGAAGGAAAATCGTCCATGACTCGGATCCTTGATGGTGAGTGGCTCCTGTTGGTCGCTGCGATGACAAAATGTACCTATTAGGAGGAGTTACGAAAGGGAAGGATGTGTCATCGGCGTGAGACACCCTTCACCTCGCCCTCATTGACCACGGTATATGCAACACCTTTCCTGCATGCCAAAACACCTTCTGCTCTCTATTCTCCTGGGGGAAAGCAAATTGGTACGTATGGCTGGAATAGAACGTGGACCGACTTCCATTAGGCGATCCCCATCACGAGTTGGGGTTTCCTGTCGTTAACCTATTCTCGACCGAATTGTTTCGCAAACTTGGCGAATTATTCCCCGTCTGATGCATTCGGTGACGGGTAGATCGTCCCTCACAAATTTGCTTCAAAGGCTGCTCCAGGTATGTACCCTATATTAAATTCTTTAGGTATTTAAGTGCATAATAAATACTAAAATTCGAAGAAAAAAACTTCGTTCAATACAGTTCTTTCTTTATTTGCACTCTTTTCTGTGGATCTTTCCAATAATATTCCTATTTCTAGAGAATATTGTCTTCACACCTTATTCGTATTCACATGCACGTCCTAAATGAGGTATATTTAACAACTTCTCTCGCTCAGGGGGGTGATAAGAATTTGCGATGAATTGATGGATCCACTATCGCAAGTCTGCATCTCTGGCACATATAGGGTTGAAAGAATTCTACACTAGGGTACAGACTTCTGTCTAAACACAGATAGTTTCTCTTTGCATGTTTATTTTTCACATTTTCAAAAGAGAGAATGGAAGTTTCCTTTGATCCTCTAGAGATGGGTGGCTCGAACTCGCTCCGTTTACATTTAAACTAATTTGATTTCATCATTTGAGTCTTCATAGGAATGAGAGAAACGCATATGGACCTCAGAGAAGACCAAGCAGGTCTTCTCTGAGGTCCATGATGAAATCGCATCAGTTGAAGGTTAACCGATTTGATAAATGTCTCCCATTATATGAATATGTGGAAAGCATCAGTCATTGATCATGGTGTACTTGGAGAGGAAAGTTCCTCTGTCATCGTGCAAGATCCTTGACCGGGAATGTGGGCGAAGGGCGAAGGAATTGCAGACTCAACACATTCATCGCTAGAATCGGCGTGAAGGCGTGATCGTTCAACCGATTCACCCTAGAGGTAGAATGGTCTTTATGTTTGTTTTTTTCTTGTGTCCTACTCTTGCTTCTTTCCTTTGGTAATGGGGTACTGAGAACCAAACTCTCCATTTTTCTCAAAGGTGAAAGTTTTTCAACGAAATAAACCATAGGGAAAGTATAAAAAAACCGGAGGGCTTCATTACAAAATATACAAAAACATGCAAGCGAACAAGACTATTGACATAGCAAACTGGCATTGGACGGCATGAACAACGACGAATCGAATGACGAAATCACATTAGCACTACTTGAAGAGAAGACTTCACAGAGACACAAGTACGAGGACCGTGAATTCACGAACATGGATTCGATGACACCTGGGGATCGTACAATACTGTATCGAAAAGCAATAAATGAATTACTCATCATAATTATATTAGGGGAATTTCAAGAAAAGGGAGAATACGCATTTGCACAAACATGGAGCAGCGTTCACGAAATGACATGAGCATTCGTGGAGGAAAATGCAGACAATTTAGAGATTGTGTAAGTTGATTTAACCGTAGGAGGGTGTAGAACTGCCGTTGTAGCCGTTCCCATTCCCGTTCCCATTCCTCGGTTGAGACAATGGCCTGATGGCCACCAGTTGCTTTCCATTGCTGCCATTTTTCCTGTGGGATGTACCAGAAGAGTAGGCGCCGTTGCCGTTCTGGAACGAACCATTTACGGTACTTGGAGTGGTCGATGCGATGAATTCGTTCCCATTTCCATTTCCAAATCCACTATAGGTCGAGGAGACACCGTTCCCGTTGCTGGAATGGGATGGACCGAAGGTCGAAGAGACACCATTTCCGTTACTGCTCTGTGGTGGGCCGAAGGTCGAGGAGAAACCATTTCCGTTACTGCTCTGTGGTGCACCGTAATTGGTGCTTGGAGTGGTGGGTGAACCGTTGTTGAATGATGATGCTCCGTTACCGTTATAAGATCCACCTAAGGTCGAAGAAATACCATTCCTAGTACCTATCTGGGGTGCACCATAGGTAGCACTTGGTGTCGATGCAACATGGCCGTTTCCGTTCCCGTTTCCGTTTCCATTCCGAAATCCATTTTTAGGTACACCATTGGTTGAGGAAAACCCATTCCCGTGACTGCCCTGGGGTGCACCATACAAGGTGCTGGGAGAGGTGGAAGCACCATGGCTGAATGACGAAGCACCGTTACCATTCCCATTTGCGAAACCATTTGAATGTTGCGATTGAGAAGTACTGTAAGATGAAGTCACGCCGTTGCTGATTCCACCACCAAATCCATTCTGCGGAGCATCGAAATTCGAAGAGACGCCATTCCCGCCGTTCTGAGGAGCTCCAAAGGTAGTACTCACAGATGTCCCCGCACCATTGGCGAAGGATGATGCCCCGTTTCCGTTTCCATGTCCATTCTGGAATCCGTTCACCTTTTTATACGGTGAAATTGGCTTTCCATTCCCGTTTCCAAAGCCATTTGGTTTTCCATTCAGTGGAGTACTCTGAAAATGTTCATTTCCATTTTGGAACCCATTCAGATTACCATTAGAAGATGCTCCATTGCTCGGCACTTTTCCGTTCCCATTCCCGAATCCATTCACGTTTCCGTTTGAGCTATACCTTGATGATGGACCGTTACCATTGACGTTTGCGAATCCGTTGACATTTCCGTTCTGTGGAGCACCATATGACGAACTTGGGCTTGTTCCTTTTCCGTTTGTAAAACCATTCAGAGATGAACTATGACCGTTACCATTAGCGAACCCATTCGAATTTCCATTTCGTGGAGGTCCGTAAGACGAACTCGGAACGTTTCCATTTCCACTTCCGAATCCATTGTGGTTTCCGTTCTGAGGTGCCCCATACGACGAAGGTGGTATTTGACCGTTCCCGTTCTCGGTGCCGTATTCATCTTGGTCTCCTTGCGGGACACCATAGGACGTACTTGGAGCAGATGGATCGACGCCATCGCCTGATGGACCGCTGCCGGTCACAGTTCCAAAACCGTTAAAGTCGTCATTTTGGGGGACGCCATAAGATGAACTTATGAGGGTGTCCTCGTTTTCAAATCCATTCAGGTTGCCATTCTGCTGTGAATCGTATGAAGAGCGTGGCTGGTTGCCGTTCCCGTTTCCAAATCCATTCAGTCCTCCATTCCTATGAGTGGTATAGGAAGAACTGGGGACGTTCCCATTCCCATTGCGATATCCATTCCTGTTACCATTTTCTGAAACCCCAAGAGACGGACTGGCTACGTTTCCATTTCCAAATCCATTCTGGTGTCCATTTTGGCCGTTCTTTGGAGCACCATACGAAGACCTGGGGATGTTGCCATTCCCATTTTTTAATCCATTCAGGTTACCATTCTGCGATGCACCATAGGAAGAACCTGGAAGATTACCGTTCGAATTTCCGTTTCGTTGAGTGGAATAAGACGAACTTGGTGTTGACGGGGCTGGAAATGATGCTCCATTCACGTTGGCAAGGCCGTTTAGCTTTCCATTTCCATTCGAACTGTGTCCGTTTTTGGCTTTGGACAGACCATTTCCATTCGTAAATCCATTTCCATTACCATTTTTTGTTGAACCATGAAACGAGCTAGGAACGTTGCCATTTCCATTCTGATAGCCGTTTTGAGACCCACCATATCGCTGCGACTGTCCATTTCCATTTCCGTTTTGACCACCGTTCTGAAATCCATTGTAGGAGTTGAGTTGGCCGTTCCCATTTCCAATTTTACCACCATTGGAATGTCCATTGGAGGAAGTGACTTGCCCGTTACCATTTCTAGGTTGACCACCATTGGAAAATCCATTGTAGGAGCTGATTTGACCATTTCCATTTCCATTTTTGAAACCATTTGAACTTCGCGTTCCAAAGGAAGTGCTCGGGGCATGGCCGTTCTTGAAGCCATTTCGGTTTCCATTCTGAACGGTTGCATAATTGGTGCTATGGCCATTACCGTTGCCATTGTTGAATCCATTCAAGTTGCTACTTTGCTGCCGTTCATAGGGAGTACCATTTCCGTTGCCATTTCCATTGTCATTACCATGACCATTTCCATTGCCATTGCCATTGCCATTACCATGGCCATTTCCATTGCCATTACCATGGCCATTTCCATTGCCATTACCATGGCCATTACCATGGCCATTTCCATTGCCATTGCCATGGCCATTTCCATTGCCATTACCATGGCCATTTCCATTGCCATTACCATGGCCATTTCCATTGCCATTACCATGGCCATAGCCATTACCATTGCCATTGCCATTACCATGGCCATTACCATGGCCATTACCATGGCCATTACCATGGCCATTTCCATTGCCATTACCATGGCCATAGCCATTACCATTGCCATTGCCATTTCCATTCAAGTTGCCATTTTGCTGACCACCATAAGAATTGCTAAGACCATTGCCATTTCCATTACCATATGAACCCTGGTTTCCGTTTCGTGGTGCACCATACGATGTGCTTGGGGTGTTGCCGTTGCTGTTGCCAAACCCATTCAAGCCACCACTCTGAGAAGTGCGATATCCCGATGAGATGCCCTTTCCATTACCGTTGGTGTTGCCAAAGCCATTCAAGTTACCGTTCTGAGAGGTACGATATCCTGATGAGACGCCATTTCCATTACCGTTGCTGAATCCATTCACGTTACCATTTTGCGACGTACCATGCACTGCATTACTATGTCCATTGAGATTACCGTTTCTTCCATTGAATCCAGTTCCTCTGCTGTTCCTGGAAGCAGCATAACCGCTCTCCTGTGCAGCGAAAACTTCACCATTACCATTACCGTTGCCATTCCCATTACCAGCCCCGTTAACTGGTGGATAGACGATATTCTCGTCTAGGGCAGCACTCGCCGACTGATAGGAATCCTGTTGAGACCCGTATATGGAATTGGAATCCTGTTGGGATCCGTATACGGTGGTGAGGATCTGTTGAATGGGAACTTCCCCAATCATGGAATTGAGTTGAAAGAAGTTGGAAGACGATTCACAGTCGACGTTATTCCACCAATCGCAAATGAAGGTCTGCTGATTAAAGAGGGTTCCGTTGGGGCACAGGAACCCCAGCATCATCCCGTCCTCCTTGCATACGTGGAATGCCTGGAAAACGAAAATTTATTAAAATTTTTGGAATAATGGTTGTTTGCATGAGTATGTAGTGCGTTCGAGAAAGGCTCCTCAGTGATACACATCCCTTCTCGCCGTTCCAGGTATGTAACGAATGATTAATCCATTGTTGCATCCCAATAGATGGTAACTCACAGAATATTCTGGCGTTGCCTATTCCGGAGCAGAAAACTGAGGAAGTTTACCTCGAGCGTTAAAAGAGTAGTGAAGGCGACTGGAGGAGGCACGAAACAAAGTACAGAGAGGACCCGTGTGACCTCCACAAATGCAAGGCCAAGACCTTCCCAGCTTTTCGAACTTGATTATTCTCACTGGAATATGCATTGACGCGTAGTATGAGCGGAGACACGAACGCGCATGCATGACATCACAGGCAAGCAAACAGTCCGAAGGTCTTAATTAAAATTTTTTGTTCATGGTATGAAATGAAGGAGAAGCGAGCATACTTAGGAATAGCATCATTGTATTCGCGTGGTCTCCAATGTCCTGAGGAGTCATTCTTATACACACTAAACAGGGCGTCCAGAAAGTCACCAGATATTGGGAAGTAACACAGGGAACGAATTATTTGCGATGGAAACGATGTTCCTACCGTATGCGAGCCAGTGAGTCGAGGTAAATGAGCAAGGTGAGCAGTGAGCAAGGTAATGACATCAAGTGACATCATCGTTGGAGCCACTCGATGACTGATGAGTCGTCGAGGTCTATAGTGAATGGTTGGGAAATGTTCCTAGTCAAGGCAACCTAGCCTTCGGCCGTAAATGGTGCTCATGTGAAATACTTTCAACGAACTTCACCACTACTCATGACGACGTATCAAGGACGCTGAGAAATTACTTGTCACTGCTTCCCTTTGGGGCAAACCGTACAGTAACATTTTCATTCCAACTTGCCCTGTGTTACACCTATGTCCTGCGAGTTTCTAAACACTCTTTATACAGAATAAGGAAGAAAAAAACTTTTAACTGTAAAGCGAAATTCTCGCGTTTGTAATGTTTTCTGGAAAACTGATGAAATCACGAGAAAAGGCACATGATAAATCGTAACACCCCACACTTATCGGAAGTTTCTGGAGTTGCGGGGAAAATGTATCCATTTAAAAATATAAACTTTCACCATGGCTTTGAAAAAAGGACAGCTTGGGTAAGTTTCTCACATAAAGGTCTAACAGGAAGTTTATGGTAAAGTCGGTGTTGTTGCCCTGCACTGATCAAGTACGAAGTTAAATTTGTGGAAATAAATTGACTACTGGATACTGTATTTCCGTCGATGATTCCGCAACTCCAAGTTGCTCTCTAAGCGGCAAAACAACGAATATACCTAATGGATAACGTGGAGATCTGTCAAAAATATTTTCCCAATGAAGATATCTCAAGTGGAGGCTCTACAGGCCAAACTAAGTACTCCTCAGGGCTTCAGGTTTCATTCATGGCATGATAGATTTTTAGAAAGAGAATATTTGGAGTGACGCATACGCATTTCAGGTAAGTCACGATATTCTTTCCTCGTGTTTAGATGGTAGTTCCTGTCATGCCACTTGCTTTACTTCCCCCAAGACCATGTCTGTAGTAAAGGTGATATTCGGAAAGTTCCTTGCATCTGCTTCTTCTGTTGGAATTACCGATTTTCCTATAAATTTCCTGGGAAGTAAGACGTAAGAAGTAAGAAGTAAGATGAACCCAGGCTGGTTTTTCTTGTGATTTTTTTTTTTAGGTTAAAGGTTGAAATAAAAACATCTGTCATTTTCCCAAGCAAATCGAGCATGTGTAACTAATGGTCATCCATGTCGGGTGCCTTTTTCCTGCTTGGTCCATTAGCTTTCCTGAAAACTCCCCCAAACTTAAACTTTGCGATCAAATGAGCTCTATCTTTTCGAATACCTCCTATGTATTTTTAATCGTACCTGGCACCGAGCTTCAATGTCGGCATAATACCCTGGATGCTGCTGCTCTTTGCAGGAGAAGGAAGTCTCTGGAACTTGAGCCAGAAGAGGGAAATCCACTCCAGGTTCTCCGGGAATTCCATCGAACCATCCGCCGTCGTCGTGATGAGCGGATTCATCGTTAGATGAAACGCCATTGCCTGCATATTGACCTCCATCGGTGAGACCGTTGACTTGTGGCTGAGGATACGAGGCTCCGTTGTTCAAGTCGGTCGCTTGTTGGGTATAAATGTCTCCATTACTGAATCCGTTTCCTTGTGCTCCGTTGAAGCCGTTGAGAGCTGTCTGTGAACCTTGAGGAAGTTTGTCTCCCAAGCACGGATCCTGAAATAAAGTCAGAGATATAAAGGTTGTAAAGGTGAAATTTAGACATTTCGATTTTTTCTAGAAAAATCTGGAAAATGTTAGAACTTTCTATGTAGGTGTATAAGTAGAGTGACCAGTGGGCATTGTGGGCGTGAGTGCTTATCGTGAACCTACAACAGATACATTGACGCAAGACTGCACTCTAGTCGTTGTTGAGTTAATTGTCAATAAATTGTTTTCTGGAAAATGTCTAAATTTCACCTTTACAACCTGATAGTTTCACACTTGTGGTTTAAAATGCATCGTGAAGAGATGCAAATGAAGCGCCTTTTCATAAATTCATCATATAGCTCCGTCTGACGTGAATGGTTGTCAAAACGATGACACGATCAGGAAGGAGCGATGTGAAACATCCCCCAAAGCAAATGACCCAACTTGTAAAAAAGGAATCCCCACAACCATCAGAAAGCCACAGAAAGTCGGAGGGGTCAGCTCAGTTTTTGTAGAACAAAGAACGTCAAATAAATTTCGTGAAATAAACTTTAAAAACCTTGAACTTTGAACGTTAAATGTTGATTCAGTGACAGAGGGCATGGAGCGCTTAATGCTAGGGAGGTAAATCTCCGAAATGGGACCCATCCGGCGAGTCTCTATTAGCCTTGGGCGGATCCCGTCTTTTCGCATAAACATCAGTGGCAGCTCGTGATAAACATCTCGTGAGTGATTCTAATCACATAATATTGGCAAATTCACTTAAAACCAGGTTCAAGCTCGCGTCTCAATTCGGTAATCAGTGGCTGGAAGGTTTTAATTAATTCCGTCATTCAAATTTTCTCCCTTATTGCTTTGTTCTGTATGGGCAAAATAATACATTGATGCCTTAAATTCCCATCCCAAGAACCCCCTGCCTCAGTGATATTCATTTTAAAGTAATTCATAACAAAACAAGTATATTGAAAGAACTGAAGGCAATATCTTGAAACTATCGATGTCTGCATGTATGATAAGTGACCAATTCTGTCCATATCCACATTCATTCTTTCATTACGAGCCCCTCTTCGCTCAGAAAATGCATCCGGAAAATGAGTTGAACTTCTCACCGAAGTCAGCAACAGAAGCAGGAGAGAACAGGGGGAAGGGCGGAATTTTCTGGTCACCATCCCTGAAAAAGACAAGGAAAAAGGGGAGAAATAAAAGAAAGGGGATGATGAGAAAATTCCCAGTGTCTCTCATCGCCTCACATGATTGCCCTTCCCTTCCTTCCCCCTAGGGGCATGACGTAACGCCACAGAGAAAAAAAGAACATCGTCTCCACGTGCATTCACTCTCGACTTCAATGATAGCATAACCGCAAAATGGCAACGTCATTTCCATGTTTCATCGCAAGGAAACACGATATTTCGGCCGTACGGAACAATCACGAAAGAACACGAAATAGCAATAATTTAGAAATTAAAAGAAAACTTTGAAACATCGATCGAAAAATAATTTCGCTACTGGGGGAAATCCGCATTAAAGGAGAGGATTGCGAAAGACGGAGTGTCAGAAGACGTAAATATTTCATGCAGCCCTGTACTTTATGTCTCGACAGTCTTGCAAATAATGAAAGAGGCAGTAAAGAAGGGGTTTGGGAACGAGGGTGCGTCCCCCCTATGTAAACCGATGAGGAATGACCGAAATGACCTCGTTACGATTTGGAAGGGGAGGATGATGCAAAAGACTTCCTAATGGCACATCTCCTGCCCCGAAGGACATCCATATTTGCATTTTGGCCTCGGGGTAATTGAACGGATGATATTGAGTGATTCGATATCGTGACCGAGATGGAGGATTCTCCCTCCTACCGGTTCGTCCCTTCCCGTGGAATTTCGACACCTGAGAAATGTCTTTAATATCGCGCTCGATAGAGACCTCTTCTTCTTCCACTTGTGCAATCGCCGTCGTCGCGGCGCATGACGTCATGCACGTCGTCTAGGAATCGTTTTCCAACTGACTGGTTTTTGACACCCGTACGAGCAAACTACATATTTTTTTGCATGGGGAAAGTCTTAACAATCGCCACGTGGAAGAAGGTCTGAAATTATGATGTCCGGAGGGTCGCGACCTCGAAGCAATCAGTCATTCAACGTATTGACCAGGTCGATGGTTGTGTAATGATGATGCAGCATCTCGGGCCTGTGCAATCATCGTATCCAACCCACACAGCGGAAGCTTACGGTTTGTTTACAAGCGAGAAAAAAAAGAAGTACCTTCCGAGAGTACCTTGAAGGTTAGGAATCAGAGGCAGTGAGCTAAGAAAGAGATCCAAAAGCAGCCGCTTACTCTTAACATAGGCGCTCATAACACAAAGGCGCTTAACATAGAACCTCTTTATCTTCTCTTCGTCTTAACATCTGCTTTTTTTCTCTCTGGATGAAAGGTGAAGCGTGAGATTTTTTTAAGAGAAAGGAAGAAGAGAGTGTCAAGCTGGGAGATTCTTTACATCTTCCTGAATTTCGGTCGCGGAATGAATGGCACCTACGGGAGACGACCGAATAAGTCATTTGGGTTCCGAACCGTGACGCTTTTCAGAGAGGAAGCTCTCCGCCATTTCGTAATGCGCCACGAACTGATCGATGGAAAAATTCGTCATTCCCTTGAATCCAAGGACGAATTAATCGGAAACCAAAATGAATTTTTCATCTTCCCCACACTCAGCCTTCGTTGGATCCGGCTTAGCACACACCAGACTTTATTTCGCTAATAATTTCTCACCCGGTTTTTCGATGCCGTTTCACTTTTCAAATAGGGTTCACTTCACATTGGAGACGGATACCTTCCAAAACGTTTTTGCTTTTCCACACGTGCCTTGCTTTCGTCAGGAACTTCCATTTCTTTACTTTTTAACGAATTCATTCGTGAATTCGTTAAACCCAAGCGATTTACGACTGAACGTTTCGTTGAGACCGACATATGACTTCACATCGAAGTTTTTCTCAGTGAAATGAGATTCGTGAGAATGTTATAGAAACGTCTCAGGAAGTATGAGGTATAAACAGGCTCATTGGGTAAAAAGGAAGTAAATGCCTTCATCGATTTTCACGGTAAAGGGGAGGGTCGTGGGAAGGAGGTTGGATTTTGGCGGACGACCGATGCGGCTCACGGCGTCAAAACAATCACCCGAAACACGACGATAGAAAAAAAAGAGGAGAAGAAGTAACCGCGGAGGTTACGCAAGGGGTTTTGCACATCATGTGGTCAGGGGATGAAAGAGAAAGAAAACCTTCAGTGTCAAGTGCAAGTTAAATTGCCCTCTTCGTCCTGCTGATGCGTCCTGTCGCAATTATGTAACCTGTAGCGCATGCATAATTGCACGTCAAAAAAAAGGAAGGGGGGGGTGAAGAAGCAAGAGAATCCGACTACGTCATCCTGCAAATTGCACTTTGGCTATCAAAAATACCTCTGCAGACAGCAAAGAGGTTTTACAGGCGCATTTATTGCATTTTGTCGATGTTGAAGCTATTAGAACAACGAGAGATGAGTCATGGACTGGAAATGATAAGAGAGAGGCCAGGATTGGAAGTCCACATTTTGGCAGAAGCCGAATTCAACTCTTCAACATTGCTGTACGCCCTTGTATATATATACATGACAGTTAGTGCATACGATAACCTAAATAGAGATCATTTCCACGAAGATGAACGAATGCAATTCAATTTAACTTGTGTTTCCTCTATGGGTTCGTTATTTTCTTTTGCCGATTATCAATTTCCATTTTCCCTTTCATTCTACTTTTCTTCTTTCACTCTCGTTTTTCAACGGTTTCGCATAGAAATTATACCTTTTATTCGCTGCCTACACTGCCTATTCGTGAACGACACGATAGTAAAATTATCTGACACATAATGAAACGGGAACAAACTATCTCTGAAATGAAGTCTTTGAACCTGCGATTCATGAACTCTTACCATTTCAGTTTCAGCGGAAGAGCCCCAACAGAAACCATACGTACATCCAAAATCCAACTCTCGTAATAAAGTTGTATACCAGGAAAACACAATACAGGTCAAATGTTACTTTCCACATTATTTAACACAATTTTTACACCCACATTTACAAGTTGTGTATTTAAACCACAACATCTACCTCTGGCAGAGAAGTTGAACATCTACAATGTTACAAAATATATATTGGGACAAATCTTGTCGAAAATCAAAATGGGTTCATTTTGTACTTCCGATGCACAGATGTTTCTTTCTAAACTTTCTAACTCATTTGGAAGACCACCCTTTTCACACAGACCTCGTGTTAAATAAATATCGCATGGTATATGCATAAAAGTTGAAATTCGGACACTCACCTGGATCGACGTGCGTACGAAGAGTGAGATACGGCCCTGGGCGAGAGGAGGAGGAGGAGGGAACAATCAAACGTATCGGTTGGGAACTGTGGAGAGACTGTGGCCTTTATAAAGGATAGCTAAGGACTTTCACCATCCTTCCCCCCTTCAACCCAGGGGATCTTCTTGGATTCCGCAAGGCCGTCTTCACCGCACATACCCAGACCCATTCATTATGCAGGGTACGTATACTCGTCCATCCTGCTCGTAACCTGCAAGGGTGATAATATCGATACGCATGCCTTCATTTGTCTCACGTCGCCATTATACCGCGGTCAGTCTCCTTTTTTTTGCAGAGCTCAAAAGTCTACAACTGCTACTTCAATTATGGCATATCGTATCATCCTGATCTCGAAAGCACCCGCGAAGGAATGATGGAAATATTCAACACGATGTGAAGTTTTCTTCGACCTCGATTAAGGAATCATAGCCGAAGCTCAATGGTGGTACTTTGAGGTTCACGGTACGGGTCGGGATGTCAAGAAGCAATTTTGTCCTTGACAAAAACGTTGTAAACTTTTACTTTGTAACGATCCCCTGACCTTATGGACAGGTCGTTTGGCCTAGTACAAAACTGACATTTTGCATCGGTACTGGTACTAGAAAGAAGGCACGCTAGAAGCATTCCTTCTGATTTACTTCTGATGTGACATGGCATTTTATGATGTCCCACTGTTTCCTGACTTCGAGTGTGATCCGTTATTATCACGTGCAGTTTCATATTCCATCGTACTGTGGACTGCAGTACCATACGCGAACGTGAGAGGAAGTCATTCCGAACGTGTTGGGAAAGAAATCTACAAAGACTACATGCAGAGAGGAGCATGATCTCACCATTCTCCTGCTTTGATGAAAGGTAATCAGCTGCACCTAGCCGATACCTGTCAGAACGGAGAAGATACGGGCAACGTAGCATTTGTATTTCCTTCCTTTAACAGCACTGCTATAACGAGTCCAAAGGAATTCGCGAGGATATTATGTAATCACGCGAGGAAAATGAGGGCCTCTTTCCTCATTGGAATATATGGAAAGAGTCAAAAGCAGGCTTTCGTCAACCCGGATCTGCAGAATGCTGACATTGCAAATCCAGCTTAAATGAATTTATTTCATAATCAATAGAATTAACTAATTTTCATCCGAAAGATGCTTTATTAATGAAAATTCATTTTTTTCCCAGCATCAAAAATGATATTCCACGCGGATATAAGTAAAACCTCCACCCGGCAGTTCAGCTTCCAGAATACTTTCCTTTCGAAAAGAAACTTCTTGAACTTCTAAAGTTTAGGATTTGGGTCTCTTGGTCCAAATTCTAAGACGTGATTCCTTCCGACGGCAACTTCCCTCGTTTCGGGGGCACTATACGTATAATCGATGGAGAACTCATCGGGGAACTCATCTTCCTCGATCACCTCGCCGGTTCCATTTGGAACGGCATAAGTGTCCTCGATCTCCACCAGCAGGGGCTTTTCATTTATGTCGGGGACCCCTTCGTCTTGAATAGGATTTTCTTCTTCTTCAATAGGATAGCCCTCTTCTCTGGTAGGATAGCCCTCTTCTTCGATAGGATCGATCCGTCGATAGTGGGAAGAGGAACGGTGACAGTCCACGTTGTACCACCAGTCGCAGACTAGATATCGCTGATTGAACACCGTTCCGATTGGACACAGGAAGGAGTACATCGCGTAGAAGTTGCACACGTGGAACACCTGTCGGGTCAAGGGCATCTACATGTATCATATGCCATAGATTTTTTTTGTTTCATCTCCCAGAATTTTCTTTTGACAGTTGCCATTAGTATTTCTCTTAAGTTCAGATTTCGCAATCGTGGGATTTGTGCATAACTCTTCCATGTTTGAAGGTACGTTAGGGACTAATCATGAACTTCTGGACTTTCGAAAATGGGAGTCCCAACATGGTAGATCTACGGTTTTATTAATATGATATTGGTTTCTGCTCGCCAAGAAATAAGTTACCGCTGGAATATTCAATATCAGGTAACAATTGTGAATTCAGATCCATTCCAGCTGCTTTTCAGCTCGGTCTACGGTATGCAATGCATCTACGGTATGTATACGGTACGGTATGCGGTTCAATACTACATGTTACGTATTGTTGAGCATGGCAACAAGCATGGCATTATTCCGCACGACGTGGAACCTTTTTCATTCCATTCTAACGGTCGGATAATTTAGGAGTTTCTCTCTTGACATGCAATACTGACCTGACAGCGAGTAGACGGGTCGGCATAATAGGCGAATCCCGACTGGGGACAGGTGAAGGCAATGTCAGGGATGGATTCCAAGGTCGGATAATCCACACCGGGCGTCCCCGGAATTCCAGGAAATCCCCACTCCCCCTTCGGAACACGGTATCCAGTATCGCCTCTCGCCAACGATCCCAGCCACTGCACAGGGAAACACATATCGATGTACCTCGAACGGGAAAAGAAATTGCCATTTCGATGTGCTCACATCCCTTTTGCTCAGATGCTTCTCTCGGTTTGGATGAAACTGACAGAGAGAAAAGTGGGATGCAAGAGAAGGCTATGGAGAGTGTTGGAAATTTCTGGCTAACCACACCTTCATTCGAAGGCGATCGAGTCTGGAGGTGACTCCATCGTCTGACTGGTTGCGGTCTTGTTCGCATGGTTTCTCACAGATATGCTCGAAGAGGCTAGTGTCTTCTCTGACGCTGTACTCATACACTTTTCTCTTCTCCATGATACGTACGAGGGAGATTCAAGAAGGCCCGTGTGTTCAGAGGGTGAGAATACGCAAGGAGGTAGTTGGGAGCTAGAACTTCTCACATGGCTTTTGTAAACCGTATGTGCGCATTACGTTATTGTGCAGCTGCGTCGATAAGTTGGCACATGAGCTTACGAGTTGTACAATTAAAGAGCAACCCTAAATAAAATGGCTTTCGTGTTCTCGAGGGAAACGATCATTCCAAATCCGTTGGGAAATAAACGCAGTGAGTGATGCTAATGTTGAATGAGGAGGCCAGGAAATGAAATGTAACCCGGCGATCAGGGCCGTATCTAGGAATTCATTTCGGGGGGGGGGGATGAGGTCTGGCGTATGCCCTGTGGCTATTTTTTTTATGCTTGTCATTGTAAGTCTTTTTGACATTTCTGGATTTTCCTGTAAGTTGCAACGTTTAATAAGTCATAAGCTATTAAATATAGAAAAGACCAAGTACTGCACCGTTTACACCGGCGAATAGCGGTATGGCAAAAATTTAAGGTAGAAATATCGGGGGGAGTTTGAACCCCATGAACCCCCCCCCCCCCCCCCCTAAATACGGCCTTGCCGGCGATCCTCATCGATTGACTCCTAAACCCTATTAACCCGACTTGAGTCCGGCATAGGGCATCTGCTTGGTCAATTCAAAACCGTTCGCACCATCTATGGACTTCTGACGCAACAGTCAGTAACCACCAAACCCTACGCTCATTTCTTGGTGAATCTTGGATGGTCATTTCCCAAGGGCACAAAAATCTCATTACAGAGTGCTGCTTTTCAATTGTGTAACTCGTGAGACAACGCGCCGTCTTATTCACTCGGCTCCACGATGACGTACTGCGCACGTCGTATGCTCGATTGCCGTGCTGAGAAGTACTCGACCTCAACTCTCTCCATGTGTACCACTGCCCTGTAAATCTATGTCATGGGCCCTAACAACCTATTGTAACCTTCTCATTTGAACCTCATCTCGTATATCGATGTTGCTCCAAAAAACGCAGCACGGATTGATGCCAATCGTCGTCCGACTCGTGCTTGCACTTCAAAACTCTGGAAGGGGAATCGGCCTGATGCAACAGGCATCCTGAAGGGAAATCAAGGCTCAATGCCTTCCGATTCCTATATAAAAGGAGAATTTTGTTCTGAGCTCTTCGAAGTTCCCCCGTGATAGATACGATCGGTGGAGTCGGGTCCTTCTCAAGATGCAAGGTTCAAATAATTTTTGAAACGTGACGGCCAAATACGGTTCAAATGTGACTCAAGTTATTTCATGTAATAAAAATTGCACATATGTACAAAGGACGTTATATGCACTGGCGACATGGGACACACACTCGAAGCAGCATATATTCATTGCAGATAACCTAAAATGACAATTTCATGCAACTGCCGCCCTTTGAAGTAACAGTGTGATGTCACTCGGGTTTTTTTTCTCGATTTTGGCCGTGCATAGGTTAATTCACTTGTGATTAAGAAATTCCAGTAAACAGCTTGTGCGAGTCCTTTCTTTTGCCGGAATTAGGAAAAATAAAAATGTAGGTGTTTTCGTTAGGATCCAGGTGTCGCGATTATATACGAACTAAGGAAACTGGAATGGAAAAACCTGCTTCCGAGAAACATGAATGGTGCTTCCAAATTAGTGCAACCCCCGAAAGCCGTTGTTACATCGGGATAAAATGATGCCGGAGATCCATATTTAGTAGTATTGTAGTCAAACTCGTATGGCATGATACCACTATACAGTACAGTATTGGCCATTTTCTCTTGCGTACAGACATACGCGACACTGTGTATTCTCTGCCGTAGGCTCCAAGGTGTCGTGATAAATTGCTGCAATAACCTCTGCGATGTTGGTTTCAATAGTTTGCAGATCGTGTTGCGTTGTTGACCTTGCCGTTTCGTCAAGTCCGAAACCGGTGGCCTGGAGGAATGGGGCTACGTGTCGCACCGCTAATATAACGATGGCCTTGGTTCACGACTTCTTTCATGGCTGTCATTTCCAAAGGTCCTTTAGGCCCAAGGTCTCCGGTCTTCACATCGCCTCACCTTTTTTATGGGGTTACTCGAAGAGCAAGGTCTATATGAGCACCCACACAAACATCAGACTGCGCAAGTCTAGAAGAAAGAGGTCATTGTGACGATGAAGGACCTGACACCGGACATATGACAGAGCGTAGCAGAGAATCTGCAGTATCGAGTACGTTTTGGCGCCAATCAACGCGGCCACCACTTTTCGCACCTTTTTGAGCAATATGCATGGCTTCACATGCACAACTTCACTTCTTAAAAATTTGGCGGTTCGGTGTCGCTTTGCTCTCGAGTGACAATGTTCCTTAAGGGTTGCACGACTTTGAAATGACCCCGTGCATGCATAACATAAATTGTAAAGTGCCCGTTGAAGTGACAGGACAAAGCGGCCTAACATTCAAGTTTGGGGTCACGCCCGAACCGTAACTCTTCGCTCTGTCTGTCGCCCTCTCTCTCTCTGGAAATCCCCTTTCTTTTCATTAGAAAATTATCTATTATAAAACCATGTCTTCGAGTTTAATCCAGCTATCATGTGAATGAAAACATAAAAATTAAAAAATACGCATTTAATGAAGAAAAATGTGCAACCAGCAAATTGAGGGAGCTGATTCGGCAATTTAAGATTACATCGGTCGATGCGTTCTTGACCTGTTAATAATACGATGACCTTCATTCTTCCTTTTTCCCATAAACCGAGCCAATTTTCTCCGTGTCGTCATTTCGTCGGAGCAAAATTACGTCCGCAAAGAAGCATAGAATGTCGGAGAGGAGGGTGAAAGCGATGCGAAGGCGAAATTGGCCAAGAAAAAAAACGGGGACAGGGATCCTTCTCTTTCTTCACTCACTCCCCAGACGCCTCTGACGAGGTCCTTGTCCCTCTCGTTCCTGTTTTTACGTTCATTTTTACGTTCGACTCTACCTAGGACGAAAGTTCTCCATCTGAATAGAAGTCTCCCTCAATGTGTTACCGGATGCCTGAAGTATCTCGCAATGATTGTGTCGAAGATAGGAATGGAAAAACTGGGACTCGAGGGTGACTCACGAACAAGCCCAGAGGCTTGCTGATTTGTCTTCTCGATGCGATTAAGAGTATGTTCATAGAGATGGAAATTTCTGCAGGTGTCCCAATCCTTCAACCTCTCCATTGATAAATAGGGGGTCAATCATTATTGAAATAAGAAAATAGTTCATACAGATAATGACGGAGTTTCTCCAGTAGTCTGGGATATGCATTTAATGCTTCAATAGGTTTCAAACGGTTTCTTTGCAACAGTAAGTTATTGGACTTGCCTCGTGCTTTCAGGACTGACCATCGTAACATATCACCGTTTAGACTCAAAGGGAAACAGAAACGTCTAGAAACGTCTTGACGCATAAGGCATGCCAGTAGGCCTACACGAAACGGAAGTCTCTTCCTGCAAGAATTTACATCGGGCTTTGTCGCTCCACCGTCTTTCTTCCTCGGCCGATCGATGAGATGAAAAATGAGATTTCCGTCCAAGACGAGTGATATTCAAGAAAGATCATTCAGCGAGAGTACGACGGCTAATTTCCTTGCCGTGCTCACGGCACAGCTACTTTGATTAATGGCATCGTGATGAGCGCGAAGGCGTTGTTCCTTGCGGTCTCCACAAGTCTAGTAGTCTCCCCCCCCTGATCCATTCGGATCGCCCTCCCTTGCTTCCTCTCATTACCGTTCGCTGATGCAGAAGAGGAAAATGAGCCTATCTGCTTCAGTATCAGCCATCCCCGGTAGCACATTGTATTGTATCAACATTCATAATTGTATTGTATCAACATTCAATCAATGTTGTTTCAATGTTTTGTGCTATTGGGGATGCGTGGTGTGACGAGAGGCTAAAAACTGTGCATCGTGGTGATATACCTGATCTCTGTAACTTTGAACGGGCATCTATGGGAACGTGATTACTGATTTCTCTATTAAAAAGATCCCCATTTATAACGTCGCCATAAAATGAGATAGGTTTAAGAGAAACCTATTTGGCACGAGTTATTATTTATTATGATCATAAAGATTGGCACGAAAGCTGTTGCCTTCTTCATAGCTAGCAATCCTTGCCAACATGGTTGCATTCAAAGTAACTAGGTCAGGAGAATCTACGTTGAAATATTACCCCCAACGTCACAGATTACGAAGACGAATGCATGTTAGGAAATCAATATAAACGTTACCACATAAGTGCCAACAAGAGCCAATTCGCCAATTAAAACCCGCATCGATTTCTTGCATAGATGATTCATGATTGGTTGATGAAGCCAATCATGACGGAAATAACAGACTAAAAGACGAAAATTTTCCAACAGTTTCAGACAAATGCAGATATTTAATATTCAAATTATACTTTAATTATTTCACATATAAATTCGCGTAAATTTGACAAAACGATGTAACATATACTTAACTTATAATAAAATAACTGTATGAAGTATAAAGTTGATGATGCCACTCACGAAGCAAGAGAGGAAGAGATGAAGAAACGGGGTCCTCATGGCTGACATCTCATTCAGTGATGGAAAGCAAGTGTAAAGAGCTTTCCAGGAGAAAAGGGCGTTTATATCCCGCGATGTCATCTTAGGGGGCGGACCGGGATTCCTCATCAAGGAAGGAATAGGTACGGGAGGGGGGGGGGGGGGGAAAAAAAAAAGGATAAGACCTATATGTATCAGGATGTCGCAATGTATTGACTTTCCATGTCCTTGCCCTTCCTTCCCCCCACGACTTCCCCTCCTCTCACGAATCGTCGCTAGTCCCATGATTTGTAAAAATAAAAATTCTCTACTATAGGCCAAAGTTTATGGCTAAGGATTGTGCAAGGAAATACGAACTAGTGGGATACAGATGGGAATGCATCGATTTCCCTTTCCCGATTAGCTTCGGCCTTGCCAACACTCCAATCTTTGTCCGTTGATACTGGCTGACGGCGGCCGCACGCAAAATTGACTTTTGATTCTGAGATGTATAAATGAATGCTTAAACAAAATAGCATTTTCCCCAATTCTCACCAGTCCTCTCTTGGAAGCTCTTGGAAGTTCTTGGAAATACTCAAGGTGGAAGTGTCAAATAATATTAACGACTAAACCACTTTGTGAAATGCAAAGTAAAATTTTCTATCATTTGAGACTAAGCCTACTTGTTATACTCAAATTAGTTTTTGCCGGGGAAGAGGCACTCTCATTTTCTGCTACCCTGTAGGCCTACATATCATCTAGTTGAAATGGCATTTTGAGATCAATTTGCCAGTCGAACTGATTGTGGGCTGGAACTAGTTCAATCTTTATGTCGATTCCTTTAGCAACAGATTAGATTAGACGTAAAAAAAATGTGGACAGGCACGAAGAATGGATAGAGAGGATCCAAGATATGAAGTGGCGTCATTTTGAAGTCAGAATCTAGAGGGCGTCTCGAGATGGAAACTTCCGTCCCTCCATCTAACCGATTCGGTTCCCCTAGGAGAAGTGCGATAGCAGCGGGTTGGGTAGAGGGCTACAGAGCCCAGGTGTGCAACAGCTTACATCTCATTCTGCCACTATTCCGGCTTTCAATCTCTTTCCTTCAATAACAAGAGAAAACCTTTTTCCCGTTCTTTCCTTCCCTCTCAAGATATCCCTCATTTCAGGTTAAATCCCTCTCCATACGATGGGTGATGAAGAAGTTCTGGGACTATTCAATAACTCCTTTTTTTCTTTTATATTATATGTATAGAGCCACTTCTCGTTTTTATCTTGTGATGGGTCTTGGAGGTTCATAGGTGAAATTTATTGCTAACTGGAATTCATTTGAATTTTGGACCCTCCTGCAAACTTGACAAAAAAACGAGTGAAGACTCTGATAATGCTATTCACAAACCGATGATCACCTTCACATTAGCTAATGACAGAGGCGTACGCAGGGACTCGAGCCTTTGAACCCCCTTTGGTCTACTTCCCCCCTCCCCCCTTCCCCTCTCCGCTCGCCACTCAGCAGCCATTATACTGAACTCTCGCTTTAAAAAATCTTGCGTGCACCACTGGTGAATGCAGAGTTTAATTGAGGGTTTGAAGAAAGGGTGTCTGTCTCTTATTTCCAGTATCCCTGTTTCAACACGGCCTCTCGCCCATTCCACAACAATTGAGGCGAATCTTCTTGACTTCTTGAACGTGTGCAGACCTCTTCACCTGCACATATGAGCTATCGACCTAATTTCTCCCAGGAAAGAGAGCTAACGCTCTTTTGAATTGCCTGTGATTCTGGAAACCTCTATAACGATGGGTCAGAGGCATTCTTCTTGTTCCTCTAGTCCTGGACATCATTCTCTCTGAGACACGTGCATGAGTTACAGTAATCTGATATACTTTGATGTGCTATTCCTGTGTTCGATTGCATTGCGAGGGATAGACGGTGGGAAATGACGAAAATTCAAAATAATGCAGTCACAGAGATCCCAGAGAAAACCTGAAAATTTATCCATAGAATTCACGCAACCCTGACCCTAACCTGTCAGTGGCGCAACCAAGGGGGGAAGGGGGGGGGGGTGTTCCGAGGGTCTGAACCCTCGGAAAACCTGAAAGGTGAAGGTCACGCCAATCACATGTAGCTGAAAACTCCCTTTAGCAAAGTGAACCTGTCAAGGAAGCGTCCTGGACATGTGACGCTTCTGAATTTTTTTTCTGAAAACGGAAGGACGACGTTTCAGATAAAAGACGTGAATTACAAACAGGTTAACGAATTTCCAGCTGCATATCTGCGAAGTGAAATTTGGGCTGAATCCCGAAATTTATTTAGTTCATTTCAAGTTTTTTTTTCCGATATCGAATGTGCCGTTTTTACCATTTAGAGTTTGAATTCGTTTCTACCATTTCATGACATTTTTCTTCGTTTCATTCCCTTTGTTCAAGTGTTCGTGCCGTATCGCGTTTTTATTATCTCTTCTGATGATTTGATAACGCCTTCTTGCGTTCGGAGACATTTGTCGGAGACAAGCCATGAGAGCCTCGAACCTCCCCCAAACTTTAGGGCTGGATGCGCCACTGTAATCTGTGTACGCTTTCTCAACGCTCGCTTCTTTCTCTGAAGAGGTAATTGAATGGGAACAAGCTTTCCTCTTCCTAAAGGCCTAAAAAAAAAAGGAGTTCTACACCTTCGGGTCACATTTTCGACTTCGCTGACATCCTCTAAGCCAGTGGTTCCCAATCTTTTTTATTTGCGGCACACATAAGGACACTTGAACTTTCCACGGCACACCCAGCCATTTACTTACTTTCGATGGGAAACATGTGCTTGCGTCACTGAACACAGTAGTTTGATACGAGGCGTGATAGAGCAACTCTCACCTCGTTTTCCACTGTGAGATGGCGTTCCCTCTTGTTTTTAAGTTTTTTAAGTTTTTTTTTGTCAACTCTGAAATCTCACGGCACACTTAAGCCTCACTGGTGGCACACGAGTGTGCCGCGGCACACCATTTGGGAAACACTGCTCTAAGCTTCCTCAATAAAGTCCCTCCAACCAGTAACAAAAAAAAAAAAAAAAGATCCAGTCGTCAAAATGTTACCCCCGAAAAATTCCATCCTATCTAGACAGGGCCACTGCAAGAAAAGAACCAAGCATGCAGCATATGTTGTCCTGAAAACTCACAAGATCTTCTCATAATGTCTAATCACCTGCTCATATCAAATTCACGCATATACGAGCAAAATCATAGCGTCTGATGGCACCTTGAGAGAGGTGTTAAGATTTTCCTTCGGGGGGGCCCCTGGAAAAGTGGGCCTAATTTCCCCCTCCTCCCCTTTCCCCTATCCGGCTCCGGTCATGCCCATGGGCATTGGATGCATTAGATTAAAGATTGCATTGGATTGACCTTTTAAGTGCGCTTAAGAGGGTAATCCAATGCAGTCTTTCAAGACTGTGTATCCTCTTTTAACACGATGACCACCACGGAAATGCTGGCCTATTGATTTTTCCGTTCAGTGAGGCGCACCGGTGCGCCTCGTGGCGGTCAACCTGTTAATTATTGGAAAACATCTCTTCCAGAACTAGCCAGTGAAATCAAACCAAGACAAAGAGAAAGAATTGATTTCTATTGCCTAATTGAGTTGGTAAAATTTTCCATAACTTAATGCAACGATGCAAAGTTGAACTAATTCCTGAAATTTTCATCGGAGAACTGGCTGAAAATGATTGTCACATGCAGATTTTTCTAACATATGAACCGATGATATCGCGAATTGCATCCGGGCTGAGAAAAAATTTGCTTTCATCAATTTAACCTGTCTCCAAGGTTGGCCAAGGTTAAATGTTGACCGTCCCCAACGTCACAGTTGGGGACTGTCAACATTAAACCCATCAGAAACAAATCTTAATAAATTAATGCTGAGCTTCCGTTGATGTTCGTTTGCGAAAGCAATGACCATTAACTTTCATCTTTTAATGCCGAATTAGGCATTTAAATTCCCAATTAGTGTCAATGTCGGTTTGTGAATACCACCCTTCATCTCTCCTGGCGGTCTGGTGCCTGTTATCATAGGAAGTTGGTGACCACTCGACCGTGCAGCATCGCAGGCTCGCATGACTACGCTCACCTATCTATATCTGTGATTTGGATCGAATTGCTAGAGAGGGTTTGATGGAAAGTTTGGTGGCAGCATTCACAACCCCATCCTGCGCCTGTCACTTTGTGCAGCACTGTTACCTTTCAGGCAGTGATCAGCCACTATGGCCGCGCAGGGGATGTATCGTATCCTCATGTAATAAGGCTTGTGGTGTTATTGAGTTGTTGATGCTAACGTGAGGTTCCCCATCCCCTCTGTGAATGAAGAATGCATTTGCATTTCGAGAGGAGTCGCAATGCCAAATCGGACTCTCCGATATTAGCTGCGTCGTGGATGGGGAAAGTTCCCGATGATCCATCTGAGGTGAAGCAATTGGTCTTTTTTTTCTCTTTATGAAGGCCTGCCGTTCTATTTAGCCCTCAAATTCTGAGTTCCATGGCTCTTTATATTCATAATGGAGATGGATTGATCTGTTACACTACTTACTGGTCTATATCCCTTATTATTTCAGGAGGAAAGGTGGCACCTGAGTCGAAGCACATATTATCAAGAGGGATGGCTAGCTGTGGGGAACGAGAGAGGGGTGGTCGGGGTCACCTACACCAGTTGCTATCCTCGGCCACAAGATGAAATCCCATCCAGGACCAATTTTAATCTCCGTGGACATCGGGCACAGGTTTGTTAACCTGCTTCCTGTTGTTTCCCACTGGGATGGTCCATTGAAAGGGTAATTTATTTCCTTCCTTTATTGCAACAGGTCCTGATGGTTCAATGGAATGAACCTTATCAAAAGTTGGCTTCTTGTGATGCCTCAGGGATAATTTTCGTTTGGATTCGATATGAAGGACGGTGGAGCATCGAACTTATAAATGACAGGAACATTCCTGTTGTCCATTTCCTCTGGTCTCATGATGGACGTCTGGCACTCATCTGTTATCAGGTTTGTTTTGTGGGTGTCTTGTTGCAACTAAGGATGACTGGTTGATCAGTCTCTTAAAAATTCCCAATTTGGGCAATCAAATAACTAGGGCTATCAATTTGATGAGATTAATTAACAAATTAATTGATTAAGGTTTTAATTGTGATTTAAGAAATTATTCTAAATTAATCTAATCTTAATCAAACCCCCAATCTTCCCCTGAATGCATCTTTTTCCCCTTATAATTTGAATATGTAGTTCATAGTTTGGCAAAAAAAACTGAAAATGAATGGTTTATCAAGGGAATGAATGCAATGATTGCTTATAGAAGGTAGTCATTTTCATTCTGCTCACTCTTCCACTTACTACTTTTGGAAAAAGGGAACACAAAATAAAGCTATCTGAATCAATAATGAATCTTTAGATCTCCACATAAGAAAGTATTACTGTATACCTCCAATCCATTAGGTTACATTTTTGCATCCTTTTGCTATGAGTTGGCTAAATCTAGAAGGGCCTCAGTGTGCTTCTTTACTTCTGTTTCATTATTCATCTGGCTATGTTGTAATTATTCTCTCTCTGTGGGATGTGTCACATGTTGGTTGAACTATTGTATGTATGGATGGTAATTGCTGTTAGCAACTGCATTGCCCTAAGTCACTTCCTGAGACTCGCCTAGATGTTGAACATGACACAAGCAGAATCTTGACCAATGCCTAGGGCATGATTCAAGGAGGAACTAAGGAATTAATTAAAAAATAGATTAATCCATTACATGTTTTAATTGATTGACACCCTTACAAATAACTGATCAAGGCAATCATTTACAGTAAATATTGCCAACTCTGTTATGGTTTATTTATCTGCCATTTTTTGTGGGGCTATCACAATGGCTGGTCTGAACATATCAATCCATTGACCAGCTCTGATAGTAGTGCACTGATGCATCAGGAAGATTATTAACATTGTTGGAGGGGAGGCTGTTGAGTAAGGGGGAGGGCTAGGACCGTTGTCATGGCTGATAAAAATAATCATTGAAGCCTCCAACCATTGATTGTGACATTAATACATCTATGCATTGTGACAGCCCTAATTTTTTTTTAGGTAGCATGATTAATTAGCTGCAGCAAAATTTCTTTGAGATTTATTTCAGTACATGTTTGCTTGTGTTGAAGCATGACAGTAATCAGGGATATTTAAAGATAGATTAATATGGAGTACCATAAGCACTGTGATGAAAGGAGGGTTCATGTTGAAGAGTTTGAAGCCAGAACTATTTAGTTTCAAGTGAGGGCATTTATTGACTTAGACCATGGCATTGAGTTCATAGTTTAGACCTTCTGCATGATTTAAGTCTCTAAGACCTCATGGTAAAATAAAGGTACTAAGGCCTTACAAGTTATTAAGGCTGCAATATATTTGAACCTCAGTCTAGGTCTGCACATGCACCCAGATTGTGAGAGAGGTTGTAGTAAAATGAGGATTTACCATAGTGTTGTCATATATGTTGCCAAAAATATTGGGATAAAGGATGATATGACAAGCAGCTATCATTCCATGTTTAAACTTCCTCTGCTCCAATCCATGCACCATACTGGCAAACACCAACTGTGACAGATTGCAGCCAACTGTTGTATACTTTTGGACTATAGTAATGCCCTCCCACATGATCTCTGGGCAATCTGTTATTGGCAGGGGGAGGCTTGTCCCAACACTTTGGCAATATAGCGTATATCCAACAATTGTCTTACTTACTAGCACTTTGGTTTTAGTCCTGTAGACTATAGATTAAGTGACTGCAGTTATGAACATAATGAAATTTCCTGATTTCAGTTAGTTATAAAATGAGTGTTGTTGATAATAGTCAATTAGCCTTTCCAACCCTGGTATTACCAGTTCTTGAAGCAAGTGGATGACCCCAGAACAAAATGGTCACATTTTGGAATAACTAAGCAACATACATTTTTCCAATACAATATTACCCTTTTTTTTACCGAGCCTCATACTGATTACCAGGTCTAACTTTACTGAAATTTCTGAAACATCATAAACCAGTAAAATTAAATATTTGTTACACTTCTAAATGTGTATGAATTCAAGAAACTAAGTCTACTGTTGATTTGCCTTTTGCCTTTAAATATTTCTTTTTTGGAAGCCCTTCAATAAGATTTTAAGAAATATTTGTTCTATATTTAAGTGTCTGGGATGCTCATCTGAGTTGGAAATTGATCCAGTTGAACTTAATCCAGTCCTTGGCCTAGCCGATAAAAAATATGGTTCGTTCTCATCACTCATAATATTGATGATTCTTAATCTCTTGAATTTCAGGACAACTTTGTATTGGTGGGTTCTGTATCTGGACAGAGGTACTGGTCACAAGTCCTTGAAGACCCAACTGTTTTTTCTGTGACATGTGGTGTCTGGTCTCCAAATGATCTCCAGGTGAACCCATTACAATGCATGTCTCTAGATTCATCAGAAGGAATGAACATGGTTATTGAGAGATAAATGTCAATTAATGTCTCAATAAGTCAACTAGAAGGGTGACAGGATAAATATAAAGAATGAAACTACAAACAGAGGTATTGGAAGAAGACAAGAAAAAAACAAACAAGCAAGTACCTAACAGTGAACTATTTGATGTAGGTCAGGGTTAGGAATAAAAAAACAGGGTAAGGTATTAAATAGAGATGATATGTTAACTGAAAGATGAGTACTATTCAGAGGTAAAGCACAACTAGCCGCTTCAAACAAATGATGGAATAAGATGCATAAGCAGAAACAAAAGCAATTCAGCAAAACTCATCAGACAAGCAAGAGTCAAAACTAAGAGTTGCACTCTCAACTCTTATTCCCGAAGAGAGGCTCTCAATTTTCTTTCTCCTGATTGGTCCTATGAACACCAAACTAGATGTTGCTATATAGGCATCTCAGGATATCTTGTATCCAATATCAGGCCAAAACCTTATCCATTCCATCACATTTGACTCGAGATGAAGAGATTGATTCTGATATCCCCAGGTCCATTTTGGAACATCGACTGGTGAGGTGGTATCAATGGATGTACATGGGAATCCTATTGGTCGGTGGCACCTTAGTGGCTCCCCTATTGCCTGGATGGGGTATAATTGCCCCAAATTCAAGATGGAGGAGGATTCACCTCATCCCTCTTCTACCTCTTTGAGTCTGTTGTATTCTCTGTCTTTATAATATGTCATGATAATAATTAATTGCCTGGCAATTAGTCATTCTTATTTTCAAGAGGAAACCAGAAGGTTCAACAGGTACAGTAGGAGCTGCTTATGGTTCTGCATCAACATCCCTGCTGGTGCAGTTCCCAAATGGCATTTCCTCCTATTCATTTTTCAAATCAAGGACTGCTTTCTACTGCAAAGCTAGTGGGGCTTGATGGTTCACCTGCACAAGTCCTTGATAATGCCATCTTTCCTAGTGCTTTTCATGTGTATTGGGTTAAGATATGAAATTAGTTGAATGGTTGCTTTAACCCTTCAGCAGGTACAGACATATACATACATCAGCCATGAATCTGCTTCACAGGGTACCGACACATATACAGTATATTCAATACATTTTTTCATTTTCTGTGTTGTGGCACTGTCATATGTATACATCAATGGATCATAAACTGTAGAAGTATGCTGCCTTGCCTTAGTGTCATTTCAGTTTGCTTTTCAGTGATATCTGAATGTCAGTATTCAATCAACTGATATTTTTCTCTAGTGCGGTCCTCCTAAAAAACATGGTGTTCACCAAGAAAGGCAGAGTTGTTGCATTAGACTAAAGAGCAAATTTAATTTTCAATAGTGGGTTCACAATTGGTGAATCAAGTGATAAAGGTAGAAGTAGCAACGCTGAAAATTCCAAGTTATCTAATTAAGATAGAGAATCTTAGTGTCATGATTTGATTGAGGGTATAAGTAAACCTGTAGCTAAGGAGAGTAAATTTAATGAATTGGGATGGAAAGGGGAAACATTAATAAACTTATTTCCAAAGTCTCATCAACAAACAATACAGAAATGGAGTGGTTGGAGTGACGAAAGTATGCTTATTCTTATAGTCTGTGGTTCATTGAAAAAAATCCACCCTGGCAGCACAGGCTATGCCTTAAAAACACACCCATCAAAGGGTTAATCTTGGTTCTCCTGTATCATCTCCACTGAAAACACAAGATTAGATATTGGACTGGGTATTGGACTTCATGTTCATTAAGTATTTTGGTGGAGTTTGCATTAGGGTTGGTTACCAAGATCTATCATTCTTAAGACCACTTTTCCACAGAAAATCTTTTTATCAGGAATCAAAAAGAAAAGGGAAGCATGTGATGGAATGACAAAGAGTATTATCCTAGATCTTGCACTGCCTGATTGGAACCCTGTTGTGAGAACTTGGAAGTCCTCCACAACTGATTCAGAAAAAATTGTGTTTTTCTTAGGCTCCTCGTGGATTCTGGTTGTATCATTCAAGAATGGTGATCTCGGTGTCTTGCACGGTCCAGACGACCCATTGGCCTCTTTTGTGAAGACAGGCCTCACAGGTACTCACTGTGAATGGAGCAATGCAGGAAATGTCCTGGCTGTGGCTGGTTCTTCTACTTCTTCATCCACTTCCCAGTGGGTGAAGCTCTACTTTCCTTCTGGTGCCCTTGCCTACTCCAGACAGCTTCCCTTAGGCTATGTGAGTTGGACTTCTCCCATGCCTTTCTTCAATTATTTTGAACTTTTCCTGATCTGATATGCCTCAGACTTGTTTTATTTTGTTGAGTGCTGCAGACTGTCATTTTTTATATGGCTTTTGTCATGTGTTCTCAAGATTGCACATTAGTATACATTGCATTCATAATAGTAAATAACATGAAAATAATCCATAAAATATATTCAGGAAGATGCCCAAGGACCATTGAAACGCATTCTCTGTAGAAATTTCACTCCAGATGATAAGTCCTAATTTTATCAATTTTAGTTCATCCCAAAGTAAAATATGGATATTCAATATTATCCTCAGAAAAATAAGAATGACCCATTCTTGTCTAAAAATCATGTAGGGTTATGTTAAGTACCTTAAAAGCAATGAGGTGAAATCTCCATATCACCTCCATCTCTTGTATTATAATGCACCATTCCAAGAAGAAAGTGAGCACTCTCCCCTAGCTTGAGTGGATATTGTCCTCTCTTTGCTCATTAATTGCTCAAAATTCTATGCATTGATCATGGTGCTTTCCATATTGTTAGAAGGGATCATCCCATCTGGTACTTCTCCTCTGCTGTTTTTTTTGTAATGGTGTATCAACAGACACATGGCTCCATTGGCATACAAATGCTCCTGTTTCCTCCTATTGGGTATGGTAGCTGCTGCTATGCTTTCTCCATAGTAACTGCATGGGAAGGGAGAGTATTGGCCCTCCATTAAGCACATGCCATTTTTATGATGACCCAGACTAATAAGAAACAATCCCGATCCATGGAAATCTTTACAGTTTCTTCAATTAAACAGCTTGTTAAAATAATTTTTTTTGTGCATGACAGTCAGAAGAGGTGAGTGGGTTAACCTGGGGCCACAATGACAAGCGGTTATTTGTGGTGCGAGGGCAACGGATCGATATAGCTTGGGTATCTATGCGAGTGCCCTCTCTACAGCTCCTCTCACTCCTCCTTGTCCATTCAACCATCCCAGCATCCGTGGATCTAACGCCAGTCATGCTTCCAGACCTCCGTATCCCAAAACGCATCTTTCATCAGCTCAACTCACTCCGCTTTGCCACTGTTCATGTGAGTTTAAAGTTGCATTCATTTGATTTGACATTTAGAGATGTATGCATTCAAGAAGCCTTGTAGGTAAGGACAGGACACTTCTAAATTTAACCTAAATGAAATAAGGATAAAGTCCTTACTATAATGATTCTTAAGGGATATATCAAAAGCATTATGAAAATGACTGGTGCAAAGAATCTTCCCTCTAGAAATATGCAAGTTGTGAATTTGATGAGAATTTATATGATGAATCTTGAAGTGAATCATGGGTTGAATCCTCCAAACTGCAGAGGAGCATAGTTTGATTTGAATTGTGATTCAGATTCAGACAGCACCAGTCCTTGTATCCTCCAATTCACCCAGTCTGTGTAAAGGATGTGTGTGATTAAAAAATGTAGCAACCGAAATATTGTCTCACATACTTGCCTATGAACCCATACAGTACACTGTGCAAGCAGACATTTATATTGAGATGATCTATGAATATGATCATAAAGAAAGCTTAGATATTTGGCTAGCCTAGTTTTTCTCACCACTTAAATTTGAATTCTGTATCATCAGGAGAGTGTCTCAATACAAAGGTCTGTGTTCACACAATGCACTGTGGTTTACACAGCAAGGAAATCCAAAAAGTTGCATTTTATATGAATGACAAGCTTTTACATATAAGATGTGGACTTGGACAATTTGAGTTTGGCTTGATGAATTCTCTAGAGCAACATACCACTGCGAGAGGGTATGCGAGCATTTGTGTGCCGTCCACCAAGTGGTCGGTCTCGCCTCCACTGTACAATGGTGCGAGAGGAGGAGAGTGGGATGTCCCTGGTCCCACCAGATGGCCCAAGTTACACCTTGTACCTTGAGTTCCTTGGTGGTCTCATGCCCATTCTTCATGGCCGCCGCACATCCAAGCTCCGGCCTGAGTTCCTCATCTATGATCCACAAGGTATCTATATACTTAGGTCTGCAGTTAATTTATGGTTGGATTTCTGGTGCGAGATAGATTTTTTTTACTATAAATAAAGGAAACATGAAGTATGTAACAGTTTCTAAGTGGGATTATATGGAGAAACAGGTGAAGCTTGAGCATAGAATTCTGCATGCTTTCCAAGTTCTCCAGTATTTGCTGGGATGTTGTAGGCTATTGCTGCCAAATGTATTAAATATTAGGCTTTGTGTGCTTCCCTATCTTGATGGGCCAAAATGTCTTGTACTGACTGATGAAGTATTTCTTGAAGGTATCAGGTTTTGTTTGTCTAGAATTACAATTATTATATACTAAGCTTGCATGAAGAGAGCAATTAAGGTCTCTATCAGTGACTTCAGTATTAGCATGTTGGATATCAGCAGAAATTCAGTATTTTTACTTTAATAACCCTCACTATAACAATATAACCAGTTGCGGTTTTCTTCTACCAGGGAAGCATTTGGAGAATGAGTTTCGAGAGAACAGTGACCCTGCATCTGAGTTCCCCCCTTCTGTCCTTCCCTACCATGTGAGTATCCTTGCTGAGCTTTCATTACTATAAAATGTTTGGTGAATTGGACTGTGGATATTAATATTAGGGTTGAACTGATGTATCAGCCACCAGTATGGCACCATCAGCCAGTTTGCAAGCTGCTGGCACTGATGTCCAAAGAAGTACATACAGAATTAAGAAAAAGAGGGGAAAATCTTGTGAACAGGGCTTGGTAACTAATTCTCAACAGCAATAAGGAAAAAATTGGGCCTGTCTCGATGCCTCCTAATGTATGGATGTCATTTTCAATTGTTGGAAATAGAGTAGGCTTTATTACCTGTCATGAAGGTCATACCCCCCCCTGCACTCCCTGGTAATGGACAAGAGTTTATGGAAGACAGATAGAGGTCTGCACCCTAATCAAGGCAAGAAACAACAGAGGTTAAGCCTCCACCTGATTGCAGCAAGGAAAGACTGAATAACCCTCATAATGCTAAATTATGCAGCTGAAAGGTTTTGTTCACGTGGCACATGGCTGCCACTATGGCATTACAAGGATAAAAATATTTTCAGTTGGTGCAATCATTTAATCCCATTCTTCTCATAGATCTATTTTCAATGAGAAATGTTGGGACCTAGACATAAGGTATCAGTCATATTTCATTATCATGACCCCCCCAAACCAGGACTATGCATCCCACAACATGTTCTATCTAATGCAGTCATGTTATCTCTGCTTCCTGCTGGGGCTAGTATGGCTAGAAAAGATCAATCACTTTTACCTTATGTAAGAGGGGCAATTGGAAAGTTCCAGATTAATTCCTATTGGAACTGACCTAGTTGTATGGATAAGATGGTTTGCTGTGACTGTGAGGATAATTAATGCAAATTTTTGTTTGGCTGCTAATGTGTGGTGGACCTTAGCACGGACCCCTGTATGTCAACACAACTCTGCCTATATGAAATAAAGAGGAAGTAGAAGACATAACTGCCTTATATTGGGACATAAAAGCAAACCCATATCCTGCAATAATATAACCCCTTGTCCTTTTAATGTTACTTCATTCTATTCTTCAGTTCCTTAAGTGAAGTCCTGAGGTTCATTCCTGTCTAATTTCTCCTTCCCTCATCCTACTCCCTAAAAACAGCCCTGCCTCCACTCCCAATCACTGGAGCATTTGACATTCCTCTGTAACATCAACCAATATCAATAACTATCAATAATCATGAATCCTTAATTGATTTTGATGCACATTATCTGTTCCTGTGGAAATTAAATCAGTATAACCCAAACTTTGTGATGTTTTTTTTGCTATGATCTTGTTTATTTGCAATGGAACCTACCATTCTTCTGAGGCTGCAACCAATACTCATGGATATTCATCAATGATGCTGTTTCTTTTTCTTCTGTGCAGGACAAGGAGTTGGTATTGATCCATGCCAACATCTGGGGCACAAAATTCAAGTTTTATGGGAGCCTGCCTCACCTTCCCTCCATGCTGGGGGAGGTGATCTACAAGACTTCTCTGCTTCACCTCCAGCCAAGGAAGATGATGCTTGTTGTGACTGAGCTCCTTGGGGATGAGGCCTCCCTCTCCTCCTCCACCCCCACTGCCAGCACTTCCACAGGTGAATGAGTGCTTGTCACCTTGTAATTATTGAATAGTGATGGCTGTATACTTACCATACCCATTCATGGTCTCTTCTTTGGGAGTATGTCTTGATTAACTGCAAGAGTATACATTTCTGGTTGAGAACAAGCTCTTAAGTAGTCTTTTGCCAATATGACCAAGCCCTCACTTTTCTTAGATGTACTTTTTGTGTACCAGTCATAAGCTGGTATCAGATGTTAATCAAATAATTTTTACTCTTGAAATTAGTGCCACCTCTTGATGAACTTGGTCATTCCATCATAAAAAAAGAAGGGTACTATTTTCCTATGGACTATTAGGTCACAACTAATTTTGATGAGTGGCATATCATTAGAAAGCTCTATTTGAGATTCTGAACATTAAATTCTTTCAGGACATTTTGCAATAATTTTTTTTTTCATGTCTTTAGGCACAAATATATCATTTCAGTTTTGCCCTCCCCCTACCATTTGGAGGTAAGCCCAAGTAAGCATAAAACAAACCAAGAAGTTTTAATTGTAAAAATTAAAATAAATTAATAATTAATGTGTCATTGCTGATACATAAACAGAATGGTAAGAAAAAATCATGAAAGTCACCACCTGGTGATAAGTTAGGCTACCCTAAATTGTGCCACAGAGGCCTAGTGAACTGTGCCACCTCTGATGCTGATTCCACATAATGACACTTTTTAATGATGAGCTAAAATTCTCTAAAATTTTCTAGATGCCAATGTACATTGTCAGGTTTTGCTTCATAATTGTGTAATGTAGCACAGTGTAAACATAATAATGGAATGATGTATGATTCTTTTAAGGAGATGAAGTGAAGGCAGAGGAAAGCCATTCAATCCCAAGAGCAGAAGTTCCAAGCCCTCCACCATCCCCCCCACATCCACTGCGAGTGAGTCACACTGTAATGCGGTTCCGTGAGCCCCCTCCAATGCCAGCTCCCCCACCCCGCTCCAAGAGCACAGGGTTCCTCAATGTCAGGGACAGCTCCAGCTTGTTCCTCACCACATCCCCAATGGCCTTTGAGGAGGGTAACCCAGTAGAGGACCAGGCAGATGAGCTGCCCAAGAGGTTGATTCTGGCTCGACCCAACATGCGAGACTTGGTGAAGAGTCTCAGTGTGGAAGAGGAGGTGGAGACAGGGGACCCACTGCCTCATGTGAGTGTTACTCCGCCAAGCAGCCCTGAGGACACCTCTATCCCCTTCCTTTGTGGTGTATCTCGGTCCGTTCCATCTTCACCTCTCATGGCCAGACGTCTCAGGGATGTCCTCTCCTCACCACTTAAGTGAGGCTGCCAATACATCTTCCTTGTTTTTCATTTCATTTTGTGAGTGTAAATGTTCTGTTAGACTCAATCATGTCTCTAGTTCTTCTGTCTTGTTCATATTTAGGGCTTTCTATCTTTCTTTTCTTTCAATCTCTGAAAACTTTGTGAGTTGAGTGAGACTCATGAGATTAGTAGCTGTAGAAACAATAATTCAAAATCTTGGTTGCTCTAAAATATGTGGAAGATGGGGGCCACATTTATTGACAGCATGTCACTAAGAGTCTAGGAAAGACAGCTGCACTGATCTCCTGCAGCACTATGAGGCTGAGGGTGACACAGTCCTCTCCTGAACATTCACAGGGAGACATGAGTGCATGACTTTGACCCAAAGACAAAGCATCATTCTGTGGAATGGTGCCATTAAGGATCCTGTCAAAAATAAATTCACAGCAACACCTTCCACTGGGAAGTCAGATTGACTGCTTTCTGGAACATTTACAGTGCCACAATCCTGGAAGTCATGCCCAGGGATACCACATCTCAGAGCACTATGTTGAAATGAAGAACCTGGAAGAGCATTCATAGAATTCATCCCAATATGGACAGAGCACAGGTCACCCTTCAAACATGACTATGCAAGACCATGCAGGAGCCTGAGGACAATGGTGGCAATTAAAAAACATCCCTTGTCCACCATACAACACGAACCTGGCACTCTCAAACTTCCATCTTTTTGGTGCCTTGAAGGATGGCCTCTTCAACATTTTAAAGCCAAAAATGCAGTGAAACATACAGTTTGAAAATGGTTGCACAGGGCAGATAAGTCCTTCTATCCCACTGGCATTGTATTGTTCAATGTTGGTGAAAATGTATTGAAAGGAATTAAGACTGCATGGAAAAATAACTGAACTATCTCCAAAGTTGTATTAATATTTGTGTTCCTGAACATAAACATTTTTTTCTCAAAAGGCTTTTGAAAGGAAAAAAATTAGCAGACATCTATAGGGTGAGCCAAATTTACCTAGTAAGCTCTGATGTGCATATTTATTTGGACTTTTGCATTTGAACATTTGTACCATTAGCTGTGAAACCTTTTTCAATTCAAATTCATTCATTCATGATAGTATATACCGTATTTACTCCAGTATAGTGCGCCACCGTGTATAAGACGCACCCCCTCGTCCAGATAGTAGGACGGGATGAATGTGTTTTAGTTCGAGTTAACTACTTAGAACAAGAGAATGGATCATTACTTCTTGAGTACCGATATTGGTACTCTTGAGTGATAACTTTGCTTGCTTTCCATGAGAAATTATTGTCTCTGGAACGGCCCCTCGGAGGAGGATGTGAGCTCCGCGAATCAATTTTCCACGCCGCCAGACACCTCAGATTCCGATTCCGATACTGAATGATGTCCGCGAATCGACGTAGCCACTCCCTGTTTACCGTTTTATTATTATTATATTTCTCCTGTTCTGACTGATTGCGGACAGTTTCCGCCTCAAATTAGTGATCAATGAGTTATGACATACGCTGAAAATTTTTTTCTTGAAAAAGAATTTTTTCCTCGAGTATAAGACGCACCCCCTCATCGAACGCAATAAAATATGCAAAAAAAATGCGCCTTATACACGAGTAAATACGGTATTAATTTGAAGTATTTACTAAGTAAAAGTCCAAATAAATATGTACCTCACAGAGTTTACTAAGTAATTTTGGGGTCACCCTTGTAATTTGAATATTTTGTTCCTCTGTGCTGATTATAGGCTAAAATTATGTCTGAGATATACTTCATCATATTTTCTTGTGTTCTCAACTGGAGTCATTCCATCAACTCCTCTCTGCAACAAATTTTCTCTCTAATATGATCAAATGTGGTTTATTACCCTATCAACTCCAGTGATTTTATGTACTGGTATCTCTTTTTCTTTATGAACTTGAATTTTTGGGATAACCATATAGAGTTTTGATTTAAAATTGCAAGGTTTTTGTGCTACCATTGTCTCCTTTCCCTCACTAGGAGGAGCCTTTTGAATTCCCCACTGTTAAGCTGTGGGAGTGGACGACGACCAAGGTCCTCATTGGATGACTCAGCAGTCTCCATCAATCCTCCATCTTACGCTGGAGCCCGTCCGAAGCATCGATGGTCCACGAGACGCAAGGTCTGCAATGAATCCATGATTGTTCCTTATGAGGTTTTTTTTATCATCTTCCTTTTCAGGATCAAATGGAGAATTTCAAAATGTGGATGCATATTTTCCCCACCAGTTTTCTCACATAATTTATCCTAGAAATTCATTACACCCGAGTAGAGTAGCTAAACAGTTCCTGAACAAATGAAATGATATGGGTTTATAATCAATTTTCAGTCATTTAAACAAATGAACTTGCAAAAATTATGAGAAATACTCATTGAAGCAAATTGAACAAGGAATCTTAAGCACTAAAATTAGCTCAAACTCAAGAAATTGCAGTTAGTTGCACAAGCAACTTTTAGGAAATTCCTGATACTTCTGCCAAATAGGAACCTACAGCAGTTCATATCATAACGAGATAATTAGCACTGCTTTAATTATATAAACCCCTCAAAACTCTTCCAATTATTTATTGATTCTAGAGCTTGTCTCAATTTGTATCACCAAGCAAAAATTTGCATGAAGGAATTAATCAGAATGAAGTTTCTGTCATTAGGCAATATAGGAGCTAGTCCCATTATCATCTTGCAGAATAAGGTCATGCTGTCAAAAGAATAAAGCAGTCAGAATGGAAGACTTGTCTGTTTATCCCCAGTCACCTCCTAGTTGAAGTTGGCATTTAACTTATTGTGATGGAGTCAGTGTACAGGGTGTCCAAAAAATATGCTGACAAATTAAATGCACAATTTTTCCTGAGAAAATTGTTGTCAAATTTTTGCAAATATACCACTTTGTAGCATTTTTTCTCCTCTTTCAAATATACTTTAAATTTTTTCAATAGCTTTGTCCTTCATCACTTTGGAGATGAAATCAAACTGTGATTTGATAGTGCATTTGTTCCAAGAAGGGAGAAAAAAATCTGATATTGCTTGGTCACTGAATTTGTCGAGGCAACTCATTTCCAATGCCATCAAACATTATAAGGAGACAGGAAGCAACAATGACAGCCCAGGAAGAGGCCGAAAGAAGACTGCAAATGCCACTGCCAATTGAAGAAAGATCAAAAGCTGAATTCAAAGGAATCCGAGATGCTCAGACAGGAAAATTGCTAAGGCCATCGGAATATCCCCGTCATCAACCCATTGCATACTCAAAAATGTTCTCCAGCTGAAGGCCTACAAGTTTCAAGAAGCCCATTTTCTTGATGATGGCAAGAAGACCTCTTCCTGTGTGGTCATTGTTGCTTCCCATCTCCTTATAACATTTGATGGCTTTGGAAATGAGTTGCTTTGACAAATTCAGTGAGTGAGCAATATCAGATTGTTTTCTTCCTTCTTGGAACAAATGCACAATCAAATCACAGTTTGATTTCATCTCCAAAATGATGAAGGATAAAGCTATTGAAAAAATTTAAAGTCTATCTGAAAGAGGAGGGATAATGCTACAAAATGGTAGAATGCAAAAATTTACTTAAAATTTTTTTTTTTAAATTGTGTATTTTATTTTGTCAACTTATTTTTGGGACACCCTGTACATATTTCATCATGCTGTCATTCATCAAGACTCACTGGGGAAAATCCAATCTTGCACCTCAAGGCAATATGTATTGAAAAGAAAAGATCTCTTGGACAGAAATATGCACTGGGAAGAATCATGGTGTGTATTCTCCCAGACATATTGCTCTTGATAAGATGCTAGTAGAAGCAAGTGAGCATTTGCATACAATTGAACCTGGGAAAGCCCCCACACAAGCTTCTATATAATAGGTTCAAAAAGTTTCCAGACTAAGAGGACGGTGCCCAAACTAGGCAGCGCAGAACATATTGCCAAAAAATATTTAGAGATTGATGTCTACTTCACGTGCTTCCTGCATGTAAAATCAGTGGAATGCACCTGAAGGCTGCTAGTGCCCACCACCTACAAAGTATCTAGTCTCATTTGTCACTCAAATGTCTGGCAGCAAACATGTCACAATTTGAGCAGCTGGCAAATGTAACATTTTCCCAAAAAATGAGAGAAAACTCCTGCAGAGACCCTCACACTGTTGAAGGAAGTATATGAAAACAATGCGACATCAAGGTCCCAGGTGTTTGATTGATACCAATGTTTCAAGGAGGGATGGGATTTTCTTGACACAACACACCCACTTACTGGTTGCCAATGGTGATGGAGTTCTTGACTGACTTGGGAACAACTTTCTTGCCAATCCACCTGACCTTGCTCCATGCAATTTCTATCTGTTCCTGAGACTAATTGAAAGGCATATTTTATTTTTTTAAATAGGAATTGACAAATGTAAGAATGGCTTGGAAAGTTCTGATAGCATGGATGTGGAAAAAGGGCATATGTATGCTATCAATTTCTTCCTGGATTCTTGCAAATTGAAAGGGGAAATTTATCTTAAACCCTAAGTTTAAATAAGGACCAGTCTAAAATCAGTGAAACCCCAATAAAGATAGGTTTTATACAAACCCCAATGCAAACCCCAAAGAGATTTTGCTATTTTTCTTTCATTGTGCCTTTTGCACATGGCATTTTTCCAGAGATTTCTAGAGATTACCCCTTCCAATCTCATAATTGATGGTAGTTCTGAAAACAGAATTGATTTTGCTTGAGGGGATGACACTCCTCATGAATCTTCATGTGGTAAGTCCTAAATCTGTGAGACTCTCTTGGGGTGTGCTTAATTATCAATGCACTTTCATAAATCTGAAAGAAATACAGTCAACTCTCAATATACCGCCACTGTTGGTCTCTGCTGATTTTGGTGCTATATTGAAAACAAAAAATTTCCGAAATAACTCAAATGTAAAATAGAATTAGCAAATCCACTTCAGTTCATCCATACTGCCAATAGAGAAAAAAAAACTGCACAGCTTTGAAAAATAAATAGCAATGTTTTGCTGACTTTCGGCCACATGTGCCTCCTTGTAACGACACACTTGCACTTTTTCCCTCACATTTATAACTGTCCTTTCCCTCATTACTGAATAATGGACACACTTGAACAATCGTCTGGAGAAACTTTGAACTGAAAGAGGCATTTCCATTCTCCAAAAGGAAGAAAAGGAGAGGCAGGATTAGGTCAGATTAAGAAGCTCCTTACACCCCCCTCTAATCCCTGGCATCCGTGCCAAAGCTAAGTCTTCCCTCACAATCTCGTTATCAAACAATCAAAAGGAAAGGCTGACATCATGTCATTTTTTCCCACCATGGTGGTGTATGGTATAATCATTGTAGCTGGTACAGTATGCTGCTTGGTGCTATATCAAGTACGACTTATGTTGAATAAGGCACGTTTGTGCAAGGCAAGGTATTGGCGGATGACGGCTTGTGAGGGTGGCATTATAACGGGGGAGCGCCAATGGTTAGCCTATGGGGAAGATTCGTTCTCAGGAAAGAATTGGCGCTAAGCAAGAGTGGCGGTATATCAGGGGGCGCTGTATTGAGGGTTGACTGTACTTGAATCATCTTTTTTTCTTGCAACAGGTATCTCATACTCTTCACTTAAATCTTGACTCTATACTCAAATCTTGACTAAGATTTGAGAGAACATTCAATTCCTAAGTCCCTCTGTTATAGGGATGCATGCATGTGATACTTTTGTGTAACTAGCTTCTTGAGATATCATATGATTGCAATACTTATATGGCACAGGCTAAGAGTTTGGAATCAGTTCCTTCATGCAGATTCTTGTAATGCATTCAATCATGATTTCCAGCTGAGACGCTCAAATAAGACAGTGCCAGCAATGGCAGGTCTTACCCCAGCAGACAGTGATGAGTCCAGTGTGTCTGGTGTGCCTCGACGCCAGTTCATCCTCTTCAATAAGGCCCCATTGTGGAATGAGAACTCCCAGGTGTATCAGCTAGACTTTGGTGGGCGTGTTACCCAGGAATCAGCCAAGAACTTCCAGGTGGAGTATGCTGGAGACCAGGTGAGTTCTTTGCTTTGTGATATCACTTGCTCACCAGGTCCCTGCCAGAAGTTTGATTTAAAAAATAAAAAATAAAAAAATGAGAATCTAGATTAGTTGGATACTTATTTACTTATTCATGAGAATAATTTAATATGTAATTATGGCAATTTTGCTTAAAGTATTGATAAATTGATGGTTTTTTTATTATCTGAATTTGGATAATAATCCAAATTTTTTTGCTAAATTCTCATGACTATTCTAAAGCTGAAATGGGTTTAAAACGAATCTCAGGTTTCCAAAACAGTATGTCTCTCTTTCCTGTTGCAACTTGCCTCTCTTTCAATGGTGCACTAGGGAGTGTCCATAGGTATATTGCATTAAGTCACTTTTCATTTTCATCCATAAATACAGGGTGTCCCATATAGATAGAGCCCCCCTCCACAGTCCAAACCAAAAATGCTGCACATATGTATGATATACCATTGAAAAGCACATCCATTGGCTATTCTAGACCACATATTTTAATAGTCGGTGTGTCCTCTTTGCACTTTCAAAACCACCTTGATCCGAGCAGGGTAGGATTGGAGAAGTCGGCAGAACAGGGAGGTGTCGTTCTTGAGGTCTTCGAGGGCATCTCTAATTGTTTGTAGCAGTGCAAACAATCAGAGAGACTGATTCCAATGGGAGCAGTAGACATTTCACACTCGTAGGGGCTTTTATTCCAGTTAATTTTTATGAAATTTTCAGAGCTTTTGATTTTTTTCAGCGATCCATGATCAACTAATAAACTCGGCACCCGCAGCTCACGCTTCACGGAAAGTGACAGCACAGATGCAGTCCACAAATCTCAATTTTTCCAAGTCATCACAAGGCCATCTGGGAAAGAAAAAGATGTCGTTAGAATAGTCGATGGATGTGCTTTACAATGTTATATCACACACATGTGTAGCTCTTTTGGTTTGGGCTGTGGAGGGGGGCTCTATCTATATGGGACACCATGTATATGCTAACTTATTGAAAGCTTCTAATTGGACCACAAGCAATCAGCATGCTCTTTGTGAATACAATGATAAGTTGGTGAAGTACAAAAGAAATGGAGCTTATGTTGAAGGATTTCGTTCCCTTTGCATTAAATGAAGGATGCAGACTTTCAACAGATTGAAAGTATTAATAATTCTTTTGGTTACAAACAGGAGTGTTGTATGAGTAGAACAAAATCAGGGTTAGTAAATGTCCTGATTTTTTCAATTATTTCACATTTATTTTATTTGTTTATTTTTTTCATGAATTTTTTTACTTCACTGCTCTTTACTTGACATCGTCTTTATCCATTGTTTGGGTGGGCACTGGGACCTGGGAGACATTCAGCAACCTACAGCAGATTGGTTAGATTAATTAACACGTCGGCGACAATGCGTCCTGATGCCAGGATGCAGATTTTTTTTCAATGAATACCCTCTGGAACTGTTGAGAACGTTCCAGAAGATTATGATTTCGTAATTACTGATAAAAATTCCAAAAAATTCAACATTTTAAAAAAACTCGGCAAAAAAAATGTTTTCTGGAACCATGCGTCCTGATGGCAGGACGCATTTTTTGACAAAAAAAGTGCGCGTGGTCCCACGAGGCGGACAAGCAAAAATAGGCTGGTCGTCAACGTGTTAAAAAAGCCTGCCAGGGAGGGCGATGCCGGTATAAGGTGGCGACGACTATAGGATGATGCGCCAGGGACATGCAGGGGTCGGCTGGGCCGCCTCTAACAGAACTCCTTGAGCTCGCGGATCGTGCAGGGTTTCCAGCAGCACGCGCTCGCAAGCCCATCGTCTTGGCGTTTCACGATTCCTTTGCCTTCGGTTCGCCGGAAAGGAGCCACTGCTTGGGGGTCCAATTGTGGCCATTCTGTACCCAAATATACGCCAATATGAGATTCTGCATTTGATGATATTTATTGAATCATGAATTTCCATTTTTTGTCGACTCCAATGGGAAATAAGACGCCAACGACGCCTGACATTCGCAGGCTTCGACACTCGACACTTGGAACTCTCAATCAACGTCAACTGCCTATGCGAAAACAAGAGTCGCATTTATGACGTTCTCCGTCCATCCGATAGCGATTGAAGCTTACGTATGGTAACATTTGGGTCTTTGTCCCTTGATGCTCCATGTCTTTAATTACGTTTTTATTATTTTATTAACATAGTCGCCATTTGCCAGTAAATTGCAAAAAACTTCACCTCATGCACAAAACAGCACTCATATCAATTCTTATATCACGAAGCCATCGACACCCTTATTTATTTTTTTCTCAGAAGAAATGTGAGAGGGAAAGCGGAATTTCCTAGTCATACATTTTTCCGAATGAGGAACGCGTCTAAGACGTGGAGGGACCCTTCCAGATTTTCTTTAAAAAAAACGCGGTGGCCACTTGAAGATCCACACCGATCAGGAACGACCAATTAGGAACGACTTGATCTGTCTGGCAATCAGAAACGACTTGATGGCTTTAGGTTCGTGAGCTTCGGTGAAACGTCGTGCCATTCGTTCGGTTCAATCCTCACTCGTACTCAAACGAAGATTAATCTGGACGACGGAAGATTAACTGTTTTTTCTGGATATTACACCTAATCAAACTCCTAAATAGACCAACCTGTTACCTTCAGGAGAACGAGGTTGCATGAACCTTTTTCGGGCAAGCGGTAATTAAAACTTTTATCAAGACCCAAAGATGAGCTTCTCCTAGCCTGCGCCAAGACCCTGCGATTACCATAGGGTATTACCCTGCGATGAATCAATATCTCTATATGTTTCCGACGGAGGAACTGGTGTCTCCAAGCCTGTAGCTAAAGCTTCGCCGAAATTCGCCGCTGGCATTCCTCGTGCAAACTAATTGCAATGGACGAAATCTGACAAAATGGCATATAAACCACAAAACCCATTCGGCAGGTTTAACTCTGAATGATACGTTCACGTCACCGTCCACCTCGAAAGCGGGAAGCGAAAAAACTGATCGGACGGACAAAGAATCACCCGGACTCACCCCACGTCTCGACGTCTTCCTTGCGTACGCGGAGATTCTCGCCGCAGTGCGCGACTAGCAGAGCGATGAGGTCGTTATCGCAGGCCCACACGCGCCGATCGTCTCCGACGCGTTCGTTCTGTTCCCGTACGAACTCCTCCATTTCCGGGGCGACGAGGCGTGGTTGGATCGTTGCCTGGGCGAGGGCGACCACCAGGACCGCCAGCGTCCCGAGTACGACCGACTTCATCATCTGACAGACATCGCAAGATTTGATAAGGCCTTCATAGGCAGAGAAGTCTCACGGAAGACATAGGGAGAGATTTAACCTTTTAAATCTGACGTTTCCTGAGGAGCCCAGGGAGCTATCGCGAGTATACTCGGCCGTTGGATTTAAACGGTTAATTATGTAAATGTTTTCTAAATATATTATTTCGAATTAAATGTTTTCTGCATAACTTCAATGAAGATAAGTAATTGGTTAACGCCCTTAGATACATCTTGTGACCGTGTCAAAAATAAATGAATGGTTCGGGCTACATGGTCCAGTCACTACCACTTCTCATCGTCAAAAAAAAAAACTTGCTAGAAGACAGCGATGGAGTGGGACCGAAACGTGAACTCATCTCCTTCGTCTCGAAGGAAATGACGCATACGGGCGAGGTTGGTCTCATGCAGCGGGATCGTCACTCTTGAAACCTCAGAAACGTATGAGCGACAATTAACATTTAAACCTTGGCACTATTTGAATGTGAAACATTGAAGGTGATTTCGGGCGATGTAAATCAGCGCAAAAGTCCAATTAAGCGAGCATTTCCTTCGAGTTGCTCCATTAAGATCTTGAAAGGCAGTAGAGGAACGACAATCAATTTAGATATGGTAAAGGACACTTTATATGGATGCTATATTACAGGTATTATAGGGTTATTTTCAGTTACGTGCCACACCCAGTCAGGGTATTTAAAAAATTTATTATTGAAAATCTGATAGAGCAGGGATGAGTTCCAAATCATCCTCGTTTCATCTGAATGCCTGAATCAAGGTTACCTGTGTTTGCTTTCGCTTTCGTCCCCCATTCGGGTGGGGGGGTGGGTGAGTCACTGCCCCCACCCCCCACCCTTTTCACCCCAGAGCCGAGACAAGCTTGCCCCTTAGATTTTCATCACAACTTCGAAATATAGATGACCGAAAGAAGAGAAAGTGAAATCCAGTTCGAATCCAGTCCCAGTTCCCTCTAAAGACTCCAAGTGTGAAAGAAGGCGCGGAAACAGCAAGTGTATTTCCCCTGCCTTCTCTATCCATTCGGACGTCCGGATGGATAAAGAAGGAGATTCCCTTAATCTCGGTGTCCTTGGAACACTTCACTTACATGACTGCGATGGCATGGTTCACATTGGTCCCATCATGGATCCGGTGGTGATACTCAAAATGGAACAAAATGAAAGCCTGCCATCTCTCTCAAGTGAAAATGATGTAAGTGCACGAAAGAGTGTATTGGAAGTGCGAAAAGAAAATGGAGTGAACTCTTCGGTTGAAAAAACGTCGCCGAGGGTAACTGGAATACAGCCATGTGAAGAAGCGGTCTGTGCGATGTACGAGGTACAAAAAATTATCGGTAAATGAAGAAAAAAGCATGAATGTGCGCTCACTGCTAACCAGAACTCGAATGAGAACTAAATAGCGGAAAAAAACCTTGAAAATTAAGGGAAATATTCTCACAGAGTCGAATGTTTTTCCAGCAATCTCCGACATGTTTAAATTCGGTGATATTTAATTAATTTAAAATACCCGTCTTTTCCCTTTAAGAAAATGTGAGCGTCACTCCCGCTGCATCCATCGACCCGGCGCGCAATGAGCGAAAGCGGTGGGAAGGTACTCACGTCTTCGATGCGGGAAGGTCGAGATGAAAGGGGATGCCTGGAACCGGAGGCTGGAGTGCACTCGACCGGCTTTTGGATCCTCTTTTATATCCTCCTTCCTTCCTCCTTCCTCCGACTTCCTTCGCCACGCTCCCATCAATCGATCCATCTACTCCCTTCTGCAGAATTATTTAAAAATACGGAAACTTTCGACTGGAAGAGCTTGGGTTCGCAGGATCCCATGTTTGCGGAGCGTCCTTGAACCTGGATGAGAACCCAAACGCTTCATCACAAGCAGCATGGTTTTGTCAATATTATATAAAATTAATGTAAACGTTTTCTCCATTTTATATCGATTGTACGCAAACGATCATCAAGACTTTGTCAACGGGTTTTTGGAGAAATGTCATACTCAAACGGTAAAACAAAATGGAAGAGAATTTTGCATAAAATTAACATTCGCGTTTGCATCCCAATCAGCATGTTTATATTAATATTATGCACTTGCGAGTTTGTTTGCCCTTCGGCAAAAAACTCGCTATGGTCGCGCCTTCGGCGCTCTATTATCTTTTATAGTGATGAACTCATTCATTTTTTGCGAAATGGGAAATACGTATTTAAAGTGCGTCCGCATTGAAATACATGACATATGGGGTCGAAAGTCTTCAGTTTTATCAAAATCATTACCTCTATGATCCTAGGTGTGCCTAACTTGAAATCTATTCTTGTGTCCCTTTTGTAAGGGTGGAGAATACATTTTGAAATACTTCCCTCCAATAATCTACGCTAAGGAGTGTATAAAGTTTTGATCCTAAAAAGGACATGAGTAGCAGAGCCATCCGTTGTCCATGCCAATTTTCAGCTTTCTATGTCTCTCCGTTTTACTCAAGCAAAAATGATGTTATGGAGGGAGAATGAATAAAGGGACATGGAAGGCAAAAGAAAGTCAAGGAATTGCCGGGAATAGAACCCACACCTCCTGATTGTCGGTCAGATATGCTACTACTACACCATCGAACCTAGGACATCCAATTGGCTCTCTAACTTCGACAGTTCCTTATTCGTCATCCCCATTTTCCAGATATAAACATGGAGTCCCGTGAAGAAATATGCCCTTATTACTTTTGAAAACCACGTACGAAACTGAGTAGACTCTATCCAAAAGGAGATTCAGTAAAGAGACGTGATCGCAGGTTTTGTCTTGTTTCCTGAGGTCGAGAGAAGAATACTGCTTCTTCCTACCGAAGGAAGTAGACGTTTAATCCAGCGACACATGTGCGGCAGGGCCCTTGATTATGCAGACCCACGCATTACTGGTATTAATAATGCATGTATCCCTACCATGGAAAAACTCCTAATCGGTTTATGATTTACACCGAAATGCTGCGCCATTATTAACCCCAGTCGTCTTTTCCGTCGTAATGCCTGGGTTTCGAAACCCAAAATATCCTCCCCGAATCCTATAGGTCAGGAGACCTATAAG